ACTACAGCAGCCTTTTAAGGTGCAAATTACTGGAAGCAGCAACAATTGCAAACAACGGCAGGGGGCAGAGTATCTTCATGGTGTTGTGTCTGCTACTGCCCAGCACCCTGAATGGAACGTCAGATGGTGGCAGTAGCTTACAGACTGCTTCAACATGTATCTCATAAACTGGCCAAACGCTACATTTAAAAAATATTGTTATAAACAGCTGTACCACCCTGCAATCCAGTTGTACAAACAGCAGGTATGCTGCATTCACAAAATGGCTGTTTTGCACACCAAATTTCACTGCACGTGGAAAATGAGAGGCCCTGATGCTTCCCCTTTCCTGCACAGAACCTACACGGGATGCTGCCGTGCATGGTCAGGAGTGCCATGTGAATGGGCAGAGCAAAGCCGCCCATCTGTGAATGCAGAAGTGAGTACCATAGGGATGGTAAGAGCAGGGATCCAGTGTTTTTCATCTCAGGAACTCCAGGATTGTAGGCCTGATTCCTACCTGCCTGAGATTTTATTTCCAGGAATATATGCTGGTTCATCATATCAGCTGACCTGATGACTCTGCTTCTTATCAGACGTACGACGGATAGGAGGGAGAGTCACCTGGCCAGGATGCTGAATAGCTGGAAGGCCAGGCTCCACCTGTACCTATTTAATAGTTATAGCACTTGTGTAATCAAAGTTGTTAGTGAGTATTGAATTCATACCTATTAAGAGAGCACATGCATTCTGAAAATGTACTCATGATGGCTCCTAGAATGCCTTTTGTTGCTCCAATATGGATCAAATGCGAGCCATTTTGTTGGTACACAATAGCTTCTGAAATACTGAAGGTACCAGCATTTGGTGCTGGCCGCGTAACATAATGAAAAGTTTACAGGGCTATTACCTCCAAGTCCAGAAATACGCTTTTGTTATTCATAAGGGAAAGTGCACTTTGAAGTATCCAAATGTTTTTGTTTTGGTGTGCCAGTCACAGGGTCCTATGGAAGATGCTTGTTCATTTCACTTACTCAGCACCTGCCCCCTTTTACGAAGAAAAAGCTGCTTCGCTTTCCTGCACAACTCAGTGGATCTACTTTCGTCAGATGAATGATGAAAGGTCTGGGAAAGGTTCCTCAATATTATGGGAGAAAAGCGGGGAAATTTTTTACAAGTGTCATCAGCTTCCCACTGCATAATAACAATTGGAAAAGGTCAATTGGAAATAAATTATGATATAAATGGAAAGAAAATATATTATTCAGTGCTGGTGGGGACACCAAAGTTCCTCAGAAGCTTCTTGGGCTTCCTCTGTGAAAACTACCCCCCTAGTACAACCAAAGGTTCTTGCTATTAAATAACTAGCCCCATAATCCTGTACTTCTCAAGAAAGAACCAATTACATATTTCAGATTTCATTCCCTAGTGGGAGGGCTGCACACCAGATATTAATTAAATGGGAAGAAATGCTTCACTGAATTCTCCTACCTTGGAAGACTTCAAGCTATAGGAGCATGACAGCATTTCAGAGATGCTGAATTTTACCATACAGTCTCCCATGGTTTTCTCATTCTGGAATGAGCTCAGCTCCATGAAGTCCTACATGCTACCCTTTGACTTGTGTCACTCATTCTACACACAACCTCCTCTTCAGGTCTCCATTAACTCCTTGCCCCAAATTACACATGAATCTTATATTTCAGGGGTGGGGAACCAATGTTCCTTGTTGGACTCCAGCTCCCATCAGCCCTGGCAGTCAGAATGGCCAACAGTCAGGGATTATGGGAGTTGTACTTCAGCCACTTCTGAACGGCCCAGTATTCATCACCCCGGTCCAAGTACTCCTTTATTTCCTAAGCTATTGACAGCAGTCAATCCTTCACAGCAAAGAAGTCCACTGTTCCCTGTGTTCCAGGGGGGAGACGTGGTTTTCAATTTTTCAACCTGCCACCGTAGTTTACAGCACATTTCTAATCATGTCCTATTGAATTCAATGGGGCTTACTCCCAGGTAAGTGAGGGTTAAGATTACAGCCCAAGCCTTCAACAGGGGCTTGATATTAAACAATGACCTACTCATACCTCCAGGCTTTGAAAAGCTTTCTGCTAATTTTCACACTCTGAGCTGCTACCAAAGCCATATAAATGCAGAGGTGGGTTGAAAAGTCTCCCACCCTACATGAAATGCAGACCTACAAGTGTTACTCACTAGAAGACTGGACCAGGGGGTCAGATACAGGGATATGCTTTTCCTTAGATGCAATACTCCCAGTTCCGGAGGTTCGCTTTCCAACTTAGACCTGGAGTTGTTATTTCCAACCTGGTCATTTCTCACACGTGACCATCAGCAAAGTCAATAGGACACCCATTGGTGGTAAAGAGCACTGCAGCTGGTGCAGCTTGAAGATCACTGCTTTGACTCCATCAACCCTACATTTCCCCTTACACATGGGTGGCAGCTGAAGGCCCCTGTCTGTGGCTGAATGACTGAGCCTGTGCTTGGCATACAGAAAGAACCAACTGCAACCCCCCTGGCCAAGTGCAACCCTTCACATCTATAGTTAAAAGGACCAGGTGACAGGAAAGATTTCTGCTGAAGACCCTGGAGGGCAGTCAAGAGTAAAAGAGGGACAGGGAACATGTGACTTTCCTGATGGTGTTGGGCTACAGCTCCCACCAAACTTGACCATTGGCCATGCTGGCTGGGGCTGATGGAGTCCAACAACCCCAGGAGAGCCACTGGCTCGCATATGGGGAGTAGGCTTCGCTAGGCTAGAAGGACCTGGTGTAAGGCAGCTCCCTATGGGACAAATGACTACCCCGTTGGCAACTACTGGACTCTTTTGAGTTTCCCTTCTCAAGTGGCCTTCTCAGGTGGCCTTCTGCTGCTTTTGATATGTTCTCAGCGGCTTTTTTCCTCCTTTTTCTTCTGAGCTTGCGAGGCCCAGGCTGATTACAGTAAGATGAGGTATGAAAGATTTCAGAGCATTTCAAACAAGTGCATATTTGGGAGGCCACCTCTGATTTAGGAAGAAGCCATGATGAATATTTTCTCCTAGATATATATAAAATATGACAACGACAAGATCAGAGAGTAAAGATGAGGAAGATCCATTTGTTCCTCCTGATCTGCTATTACACAAGGCCTCATATCCTAGTTCAGGGGGAACACTGAATGCCTATCTGATCGTACATAAATTACACTGAAGGAAAAGCAGGGACTCAATGGAGGGCAAATCCTTGCCAATTCGGGAAAGCAGCTATATAAATACAATTCCATTGGAATCTCATGCCTGCTACAAATTGGAGGAAAAGCAACATCAGTATGTACAAAACAAAATGAATGCAAATTCTCCTAGCCTACCGAAATTAGCAGCAATCAAGTCCTAGTGACCAGTTAGGCTGGCGGACCAGCTTGGTGGCAGGGCTACACTTCCCAACATGTTCAAGCAACTGCTGGCAGATAGGAAGAGAGGCCACTGTGATGTGTTAGTGGGGAGGGACCAGTCTCTAGGATGGACAGATCCATTTCCATTGCCTCAGGTGGTGGACCTTTTCAGGACACAGGAACCTCAGAGAGGCCTCAATGCCGTACTGTCTTAAAAGACATTGGGTGGGATTCACTTAGGGAGCCCCATCTGCAGAAGTCCTGTGCAAGGACTTCTACTTGCGCAACTGGGATTCGCCCCCCTGAAACTGACTGGAGGGGAGGTTCGGGAGAAACCCCGAAACGGCACGTGTGGGGAGGAGAGAGGGGATCATTTCACCCTGCAAGCCAAAAGTATTTGAGCAGGCGGAACGTTCATCATCGCACAACATTGAATTCCACCCAATGTGATGACTTCTTGCCTTTACCTAATGGAATGAGGAGACAGAAACAGGGGTTTGATATCGCTGACACAGGCTTGCTTCCCATCCCACCTTGTATGAAGGAGGAAGAGCTCTGTTGCTCACAGCTAACCGTTTGCCCAAAATGCCAACCATCTCTGCTTCACCTCCCTAAGCGAAGCTCCGGCATGCGCTAAGGAAAGCCAGCGTAAACCTGCACCCCAACCGACAGTTCAGAAAGGCCGACATCTCCAAATCGCTTCCCATCCGCCAGCCAGTCAGTTCCAAGACCTGTGGCCACCTTAGCGATGGCAATGAGGTCATACTTGTTTGCATGTGTTTTGTGTGGTACAGGTAGCTGCGCAAAGATGGGAGAGAGCAAGGCCTCCGTGACCTCTGCCCTGAGCATCCCCTTGCCCTGAGAGAGGAGCGTTGATCATGAGGCTCATCGTAAGGCTCACACCCTAGCAGAGGGAACAGGACCAAGTCTGAGGGAAGAACTCCCACTTCCCCCACCAATGAACAACAAGGGCTCAGGAAGCAACTTCTGAGAGGGACAAAAGCCCTGTGGCTGGTGGGGGCTGAGGCTATTAAGACTTTAAAAACCAAACAGAAACATTCTGCCCCTCTCTCCCTGTCTGAAAGCATTTACTTCCAATTTGTGGCCCCAGTACCGTAATTCTGTAGGAAGGACTGGCTCCAGTTCCCTTGTCAGTGGTGAACCTCAGGCCAAAGCTCTACTCTCAGGCTCTTTAGCCACAGTCCCCTCCCCCAATTTCCTCCTGTTCCTGCCCTTGACTCTCCAGTTGCCTCAGGCTGGGCTAGACATACTGGACATATAAGGACAGACATCCCACAGCAACCCTCCCACCCCTCTGGATTGGCCTATTTCCCTCATTTGCCTGTTCCTCAGGCGCCGTTGGTCTGGCCCATCCCAGACAGTGAGATTAAAACAAATGCTCAAAAAGTTTAGGAACTGGTTTCCGGCTTGGTCTAGCCAGCAGCAGCCCCCCTGGCTCAATGGGGTCGCATGTAGGAACTGAGTAACGGAACAGCGCCCCCTTGGCTCAGAGCGGAGCTGTGGACTAAATTACGGCACAGTACTAGCAGAGGTAGGGGAGCAGGAAATGTATCAAAGCTGGCCGAGTTTCCCAAGGCGTTGATCCACAGTTGTGAGGGTCCGGGCCTTGTCTAGTGACTGCCTCCGCTCTTCCCGCCACCCGATGCCCAGTCGATGATGATGAAGCTGAGGCTCATGATCATGAAGAGCACGCCAAGGCATGCAAAGAGGGCTGCCTGCGGGGGGGGAGAAAAGGAGGGTCACTCACAGAAAAGGAAAGGGGCTTTTTGGCCCAGGTCTTCAGCCCTGCTCCTCTAACCTCCCCATCACCTAGATCAAGGATAGCCAGCTCGTAACTCACAGGCCAGATTTGGCTCTCAAAGGAATTTTAAGTGGTTCCTGGCAATCCTGCCCATTTTTGGTTCAGTAAAAGCACAGGCAGACTTTCTGGTCATGAAAGAAAGTGTCTCCTGTTGGGTTTAAAAAAGTGGAAAAGAAACTGCTGGACAAATAATGTGGATTGGAATACAAAAGAGGGAGGTATGAGGAAGTCCAGAAAATAAGTAATGTAAAATTGGGAATGGAAAAGAGAGTTTGTTTTTAATTGTTACGTTTTGTGTTTCTATTGTTAAATTTTGTATTATTTTTTTGTGTGTGTGTTGTTTTTCTTTTTTCTTTGTTCAAAACCTTAATAAAAAATTATTAAAAAAAAAGAAAAGAAAGTGTCTCCTGAAGCCGCATGAGAGAATATATATCCAAGAATTCAATGTTTTGCTTCTTACCTGGGTTTTATCTATGAAGCCGCCAAGCATGCCAAGAGCATGCACTTCCACACTATGAAACCCTGGCTGCTACATAGCGCCAGCTTTACTTAAAGAGTGTGTCTTGTGCAGCCAAATTTGTCCCTAGCTTCCAGGCCGCTGTCTGTAGGACAGAGTGATCCTTGCAGTTGGTCGTCCCTCATCTACAACAAGTTATAACCTTCACAACCTTGTACATCGCTCTGATAATGTTTACAATGACAAAAACTTTGCTTTCCAAAGCTAGAGTTATTGATCTCTTCCCAGGTGAGAAAGCCTTATGGTCATATAAAATAGCCATAATTTTTCTCCTGTTAAGAGGTGAGAGGGAACCTGATGGAGGTATATCTGCAAGGATGGCCCAACTGATTTTCTGTGCTCCTGACTTTACAACCTATGAACTCGAGGTTACTGCGGTCAGAATTATGATGGTATCTGATTGTCTCTGAACCCCTGATTTGCGTTCTTGATTGATGAAAAGATTATTGGTGTCATGAGCAATTAGCAGCTCCCCAGATGAGAAGCATCCCCACAACTGCCTTCACTGAGAGGACAGTTCAAGAACAGCAGTGCCGGCAGGGCGATGTCCTCATGTGGACAGTCTAAGATAGGAGGGCCTGATTTGCGTTCTTGATTGATGAAAAGATTATTGGTGTCATGAGCAATTAGCAGCTCCCCAGATGAGAAGCATCCCCACAACTGCCTTCACTGAGAGGACAGTTCAAGAACAGCAGTGCCGGCAGGGCGATGTCCTCATGTGGACAGTCTAAGATAGGAGGGCCCATTGGGCAGGAGGCCCACACCTCACACAACCAGCAGCACACCCCACTCCTTTATAGACACCCCCAAAGGTCTCTAGGCCAAGCTGGGTTCCTAAACAGTACGTACCAGGATCTTGGGAGGGGATTTCGTGGGCTCCTTGTCCTTGGGCATGATCCGGATGTAGAATATTGCTGGGAAGATGAATATCAGGCAGGGGGCCGACGTGGCACCTGGAAGAGACCAGAAGAGAAGAAATTCTAGTGACAATCACACACACACACACACACACACACACCCCTCCAGAAAGGGAGAACACTAAGCTATCCACCCACCCTTCGCCACTTGTTTTTCCTAGGAGAAAGAAAACAAGCTGTGCTGACGGGCCCCTGGCCTTGCCCCACATCCCTGGCAGAGGCCAGACAAGCTATTGATTTCCTGCCTTAGGAATGGTGTTTTCTTTCTCTCCTCAAACAGTGGTTGGGGAGCTGGGAATGAAAAAAATTAAGTCCTTTGAAATCACACTGCAAACAAACAGGTTGCTGGCGGTAGCCTTGATCCTTGGGAAAACGGGGCCTTTGGGCAGCAGAATGGGAGACCAGAGATGTGGAGTTGCATCCATGTTCTCAAGGCAGCAGAGAGGAATTATTCTCCCCCAAGTAGTCTCTATCATCATCCTGACTCAAGAGTTTATTTCATCACTGTGAAGACTGGATTGCTTTTCCAGCATCAGAGCTGTATCGGAGGGGTGATTTTTGTGTAAAAACTGCCCTTCTGTGGAGTACTACCCGTAAACCAATACCCACAACAAATGCACAGCATACATTTAAAGCCCATGGCTTCCCCCAAAGAATGCTGGGAAAGTATGTAGCTCTGCGAGGGTAAATTACAATTCCCAGGATTCTCTGGGGGAAGCCATGCGGGTGTGCTCTAAATGCTGTGAACACAGTCCAAGTCAGAGTGCAACTCCGTTTTACAGGGAAGTAAAAATTACGATATTGGAATTGGTTATGAGAAAGTCACTTTTTCTACATGAAGGATTTTATGTCTTCCTCATGTGCTCTGAAGCTTAGCCACAGTGGAGACAGGAAGAAGAGCTGAAAGAGCTCTCTGCTTTCCTCCAGGGTATGAATTGGTCTCTTTCGACCAAAGAACCAGCTCATCTATCCTCCTTTCTGTGGCCCAAAGTGTATCATGGGAATACCATGACCCAACAGCAAGTAGGATAATTTAAAGACAGACAAAAGTGAGCTCCCATTTGGCTGTACAGTATTAGTGTGCAAGGGCAATCCATGCAGTGCTCGTATCCAGCTTTTTAAACTTCCCTAATCTCTCTTTGTTAAAGGCTACCAGAACGCAGGAACCACAAGGAACGAAAGTGATCTGCTCAGGACACAAGACACATATCTCCTCTCCAACAGTTTTTCCTAAAACTTCCAAAATTTATATTATTGTATTATTATAAGTCATATTTGCACGGTTCACCCAAGGGGAAGGTGCAGGTAGAGTGTGGCAATGGCAAACAAAGAGATTGAGGTTAGGAAAAAGAGAACCCTTGAAAGCGGGACTCACCAATCAGTCCAAAGATGCCCAGGATGGAAGGAGCAAAAATGACAAGCAAGTTGATAGAAGTCAGCAGTATGACAGCAATTATCGTGTGCCGAATCCAGCTGAATTCCTTGTCTTGAAACAGCATCTGCTGAATTGCCCGGCGTACCTGGAGAGTGGAGGGAGGTATGGTCAGACTCCATTCTTAAGGAATAATTCACGATTCTTAACTGCACAAGAACTTAGGCCTGCATTGACACCATATTCCCCATTTGTCCCCTCGCTCCACTGGGCATAAACGTGATCTCTTCTGATTTTGGACTCCAATGCCTTTTGGTGACCTGCATTTTGGTGGGCTCTGGTTGCTTCTGTCCATATCCCAGCCAATTCAATCCACTACCCAACCAACCACCAACAGCCTTGACTTAAATGGAAGCTAGCAGTAGTGGCCTATTTAATGGGGTTATGCCAACCTTCCACCATCGGTGTTGCTGCAGCTTACCTAGCTTGTGTTAGGGCAGGGTGGCTGTCAGCGCTGTGTGGATGCACCAGCAGAACCACCAGATTGGCTACATCAGTGCATCCACACAGCCCTGACCTCACTGCTGCAGTGCTGCAACCCCACCAGGAAAGCTGCAGCAACACTGATGTTCGGTAGTGGTGGTGGGGTGCTCCAGAGGAAAAATACTTTTATCCCAGCATTGTGGTTGCTGTTGGGAACTTGTTCTGCAGATCCCTCCGTTTTGAGTTTAGCTTGTTGTGTTAAGCAGCATCCAGGTAGGCGGAGCTGATCTTTTCAGATCTTTACTTTTGTGGTTAAATTTGGACCAAGTCACAGGGCCCTGCTTCATACAAAGGGCTAAATGTGCAGATGGTGCCCAGGTTCTCTGGATCCCTAGCAACAAACATGTCACTGTGGTAAGATATAAACTGATACTTGGGTTCCACCCACAGCAATCGTGAGACACCACAGCAATCATTAATGCTCTTTTCCCTCTCCCTTGGTTTTCTACAGATGCTTAGATATTGCTTGCTGCCCTTTCTAACTCTGCAATGATCCTATGATTCCTGCTTTCAGCCACAGCCGGCACTGTACATTTCTGGAGTAAACTATTTGATCAGTTCAGTTACCAATTACAGACAAGGATGGGCAGGCAGTCTAAAAAGGGGACAGTAGACAATTAGACTGGTTTCTGGTATGTGGTGTTGGAAACCACAGGCACACACGATTTGATGAAAAGGAGACTCACCGGGAAGAGAACAATGGGTACCGTCAGTGTCACAGCAGTCAGCACAGCTACCCGCACACACAGGATCAGCACATCAAACGGATCTACTCTGCTGTAGGTATGTAGCAGCTCTGATTCTACCTGGCCTGCAGGGGACAACCGAGAACAGCACATCCATTATTGATCAGGCTGTGTACCTAAGCAAGGTGTCTCTTTGCATCCCAGGTTTGGGGCGCGGCAGAACTGTTTCTTAGAAGGAAAGGTGTTTCTGCCCTAAATCTATGCATGTGAACAATTGAAGTGAATCCCACAGAATACTATGTATTAAATTGATACCACTGCCCTTCCTCCCAAAGGACCCCAGAAGTTCCTACTTGCTTCCAAGCAAACATGCATAGGATTGTGTTGCACAACATTAAAATAACAAGACAAAGGGGGGGTATTATTGCAATTTGGTTTGTTTGCAATGGAAGGACTCAAAGGAAATAATAATAATAATAATAATAATAATAATAATAATAATAATAGTTGTTACTATTATTATCTAAAAGTCCTTTAGCAAAACGCATGTGATGGGGCTAAACTAGTTATTATGGCTGACTACTGGGAAATGCTTTGTAAAATGTGGAAAGAACTCTGGCACTTGTGATTCTGATCAATGATTTGGGCACCAGAAGAATATGCAGGGTTTGTCCTAGTGAAGTGTTAGGCCCCCCACCCAAGGAAATCTACACTCTGGTCCCAGGGAGGTGTATGTATATACTCAGTGAGGTCATTTGTCACCACCCCACTGCCTACCTCTCCTCCACCACTTGGGTACCCCATGGAAGGGACTTACCATAGAAAGTGAGGTAGCCAAAAAGGGCAGCCAGGAAGTACATGATGTACATGACAGCGATGGAGATGTTGGAGATGCACTGCATCTTCTTCTTGGTGGGGCTAAAAAACAGACAGAAACACAGCATGAGAAGAACCAAATTCCTAATGGTTTAAAGGTACTTCCTTTCTAATCCCAGCTGCTTCTCTACACACCTCCAAAGAAGCACCCTGCTAGAATGAAAGGCCCAAGATCTGAGATGGCCCCAGTTCATCCTGCCAAAGCAAACTATACAAGGCCACAGCTTATCTGATGGCATGCCTAGCATCTCCCAAACAGGAACTAGTTCCCTTGAGCACTTGGAGCTGATGTTCAGGCAAACCAAAGAAAGGGGAGCCTGATCAACAGAGTTCTATAAAGGACACACTTGCTTCTTTACTGAATGGAATCAAACACGCCATTTGCTGGCTTGGAGCTGCAGTCTAATGGAGAATCACTGAGAATTTTCCTTGATGCGCAGTGCATGCATGCAATCTGCACAAAATGTACATGCTGCAACTAGGGATCCAACACTCACTCTTTCAGCTCCGTGTAGATAGGCAGGACCTCAGGGTGACACACAAAAGCGAATGCCATGATGGGGATAGTATAGGCTGTCTGCAAGGAAGAGAGAGGGAGAAGAAGAGGGTGTCAGCTGACCACTGAGAATGCTCCCATTTCCAAGACCTTTGTTGTCATAGCCCCGTAGCAACTTCCTGTAAGGGGTACAACTACACATTGCACTTTTCACATGGGAAAAGGACTGTTCAACCCTTCCCTCCTCAGCCAGGCTCCTGATCTTCCCTACGTTGGGGGGGGGGTCTCTCATTGGCACAAACTGAACTTTTCTCACATCTTGCTCTTCTGATGCAGGTTCATCAGTTCTCGGTCTCCTCTGCAATCCTGCCCTCCATGACCCACTTTTAGTCCTTTGGCCATGTTGCTCCTTGCACTTCAAACCACTTCACTACTTCTGTCTGTCAGGCTGCCTCCTTCTCTCTCCCTCCTTCAAACACCCGTCTCAAAACCTGATTGTTTAGCCAAGTCTTTCCATTGAACCACCCTGTCTTCCCTTTATCTGCCCTGCAGGTAACCCTAACCCATTCTCACTATAGCTCTATCTGTCCCCTCTACTTCCATCGCATGGTCTGCCAGTGGTTCAGGATGCAAGACTGTCTCTGCACAGTGCCCAGCCTCAGTGTTGATCCTATAACCAGAGAACCAGATTCAGCCAGACAGGTTTTCCCAGATTTGATATGATATGTTACTTAGGTTAATGAATATTTATGTATTGTTTGCTAGTCTGACCTGAGAGTTGAGGGTGAACAAGCTCGAAGAGCAGATGCCGTCTCCCACTGCTTGCTCATCCTGATTGTTGTTCATGCTGACTGGTGTGTAATTGAGGCTGACGGTGGTGTTGACCCGGTCAGGAAGAGGACAGGGAATGTTGAACTTCTTGTATATGACCTGAGATGGGATCAAGAAACCCTGTTAGGAATAATTGCCTGGGCTTATTTTGCCTTAGATCAGTCTCAACAATAGACAATAAATGTGTTTGTGGGTGTTTGTATGAGTCAGTGTGGTGTAATGGTTAGAGAGTTGGACTATGACCTGGGAGAGAAAGGTTCGAATCCCCACTCAGCCATGAAGCTGGGTGACCTTGGACCAGTCACCATCTCTTAGCCTAACCTACCTCACAGGGTTATTGTGAGGGTGAAATGTGGAGGAGAACCATGGACACCACTGTGAACTCCTTGGAGAAAAAGGCAGCATATAAACACGTGCAGTTTTGTGTTTGGCCTGCAGCTTTTCCACTCTTACCTATTGAATTAGAACAAATGGAAATCCATGGTAAAGCTGATTGGTTTGGTCCCATTCAGCGGTAACCTGCAGGCAGGCAAATGGAGGTGTGGACGAGTCCGTAGAAAGAGTGCCAACCAAACCACTTTAGAGAGGGAGTTCCACTACCAAGGGGCCACATCAGAAAAGGCCATGTGCTGGTGCAACCACTGACAGAAAAAAATGATGGTGTGGAGATGGGAATGGAGAAGGCTCCCATTTAAGGCATTCTAAAAACATTTGGGCCACCACCATGCTAGCTAGCTGTGTAGAACAACCGTTCGTGCCTAATGTTTGGTCGCAACCCATTATAACAGCGAGTGCAAGCAGGACAAAGTAGCCCAAGTGAGAATCACGCTGCAGCTATATTCTGCAAGATATCACAGCTACGCATATTTAGAGAACTGGGGTGTTAGAAAAAGCAAGATTCCCTTAGGGTAGTTGTCCTGATGAGAAGCCAGGGTGAAGGATGTGACTTAATTTGCTATGAATACTTCCTGCGACTGTTTTTTCAAACACCAGTATTTTGTGTGATTAAATGAATTCTTCAAGTTTAAGATTTGGCTTTTCTTGGGGGGCTGATGGCAGCTTAAAAGGGTGTAAAAGACAACAGGAAAACAAAACCCCACTGACTGCGCCTGCATCTCCTTCCCAGTGAACTGTGGGACTGAGTGAGCAGGGACAGCCCCATTCACTGAGATCTCAGCTTTCTCCCTTCACCCTGCGCATCGGCACGAGGCTTCATCTTTGTCCAGAAATAGATCAGTGTTGCTGACAAGGAAGCAAGAATGCGGTGACGCTTCTCTCTCGCTGGCTGTTGCTGAAATGGCTGGGGGCACGTTGCTCACTATCCACTCTGACAGTTCAACAGCACTTGCAAAACTGGAGTCATCACCCAAGTTTTGCAGCAGGAACTGATACAGAATTCTGCTCTTTGGTCAGCCTACTGGTGTGAATGCAGCGGGGGCATTTCAAGAGCAGGTTCAGTTAAGACTGCTGGATACTAGCAAGAGAATGATGGTTTCACAGCAAGTGCCAGGCTCTGAAGCTCTGTTCCCATGGAACCTAAGTGTAAAATCCTGCCAGTGGGGATCTTATTTTTATTTGTTTTCATCTTGGCTTTTCTCCAAGGAGCTCAGGAAAGCAGACACACTTCACTTTCCCCCTATCCTGCTTTCACCCTCACAACAACCCTGTGAGGTGGGTTGGGCTGAGAGATGGTGACTGGAAGAAGGCCACCCAGTGAGCTTCATGGCTGAGCAGGGATTTGAATCCTGGTCCTAGTATGATACTTCATTACTACACCAAACTCTCTTCTTCTGAAATGAACATTTCACAAGAAGTATGCTTCTTGTTGTTCTTGTTGTTCCACTTCCCTTCGAAGACTCTTAATTGGATCTCTAAGCAACTAATGCCAATGAGGGAGCTGACAGTAGTGACCACAAAGGCCTATAATTGGCTGGAGATCTGACATGGTGTGTAATACGTGGAGTGCTGCATTACAATTGGAGGGTCTTGAGTTCAAATTTCCACCCAACCATGAAGCCCACTGGCTGACCTTCACAATCTCTCAGCCAAATCTGCATCGCAGCATTGTTGTGAGGATAAAAGTGGTACGAGGACGGAGGGGTGGGGGTGGGCTAGATATGTTGCACCAAACTCCTAGGAGGGCAATATAAAAATGCCATAAGTTAATAACAAGACCACCATTTTATACTTATTTGGAAGTAAGCCCTGTTGAACTCAACGAGGCTTATGTCTAATTAGATGTGCCCAGGGTTGTGCTATCAAGAAATAAAATTACTGAGAGGACTTGAGAGTAATACAAGCAGCTGCTCCCTATTCAACAACTCACCGAAATAAGGAAGAACACCATGCAGCTGAGGGAGAAACCACTGGCATAACCAAGATAACCTGGGAAGAGAGAAAACAAAAAGTTGCAGGGGTCTGGAAATACTTCTGGAATGGATCATTCTCCACTTGCTCAGGTGTTACAGACCCTAACTCTGTTCAGGGTGCAGAAACTGCCATGAGAAATGGCGGGTTTCTGGGTTCATGAATCACCCTCTGTCACTCTCTCAGGTCTGGATGGGGAACCTGTGGAGTAACGGGTGATTCTGGGTACTTTCTGGCAGGACTAGACAGAACCAAGGCCTCCTTCCCCACCCACCCCGTTGCATGGGAGCCATTTCCCTGTGGTGTGATCTCAGGCTGCTAAGGAATATGTGCATATATATGAAAATTGTGTGGATCTCTCCCATGTAATCGACATACCCTTTTGCACAACAAACCCACTGAAGCAGCTGCTGGTAACCCTCCATAAATGGCAGGTAAGACAAATTCCTGAGATTATGCTCATCATTCCCATCCGCTGCTCAGGGAGACTTACCCAGTTGTTTCATGAGGGCCAGCGGGAGGATGATACTGACAGAGACCATGATGACTAGATAGTTCCCATTCATGTACCAGTCCCTGGAATGACAAAGGTCAACATTATATCCTCTGCAGGCCTTTGGATGAGAAAACTCTTAATAGTACATTTATATCATCAGGTGATGCAAGGCCTGGAGCTTCCACCCAGGCCCTGACCAGGCCCAGGCCTGCTTAGCTTCACCAAGGTGACAGCATCCTGTGCCCTCAGACCCCGCTGAGCTTTCCACACAGCAAGTTTTGTTCACACTGTAAGCATAAATTTGTGTGGGGCAGTGTCAGGAGAAACTCTGCAGTATCTGACACTGACTACAGTGTTAGATGCAGGAGAGTATCTTCCGACATCACCTCATAAACTTGAACTTTGGTGCAGTTTTGCAGGTTATAAAACTTGACCCGCTTGAATTAACATTCTAAAATAGAATTTCAGCTCTACTTAGAAGTGGATAATGGACAACTAAGCACCAAAATCTCAGATGGGATCGGCCTCGGCCCGGTATACCTGAAGGAGCGTCTCCACCCCCACTGAGGTCCAGCTCCGAGGGCCTTCTGGTGGTTCCCTCACTGCGAGAAGCGAGGTTACAGGGAACCAGGCAGAGGGCCTTCTCGGTAGTGGCGCCCACCCTGTGGAACACCCTCCAATCAGATGTCAAGGAAATAAACAACTATCAGACTTTTAAAAGACATCTGAAGGCAGCCCTGTTTAGGGAAGTTTTTAATGTTTGATGTTTTACTGTGTTTTGAATATTCTGTTGGAAGCCGCCCAGAGTGGCTGGATATAAATCATCATCATCATCATATTACTCCCTAAACCTGAAAATGGACTCAGAACTGAAAATTCCTTGGATGCGGGACTACCTGAGAACCCCTAATATGTTGGTCTGAGCTCCCTGGAGGAAAGGCGATTCAATATTTTATTTTCTCATTTATTAAAATCTGTATACTGCTTATCAAAAAAAGTACCAAAACAGTAGAAAATATAAAACTACGTTGACATACTAAGTTCACAATCAATGGGACATGGAATTGGGTGCTCTAAGGGGAGCAATACAGTGTACATGTAAGCAAAATACTGCAACGTTGTCCTAGCCTTCCAGCCACAGCAGTGTTGTTTGGTCAAGCCAAACCTAACTGAGCCTGCAGGGCAGGCAGCAATGACCCTGTACGTTGGACATTGAGGTTCACATGAAAGCCAGCGTCAAGCTTTGATCTGCCTTGTATCTCAGCACAGCCCAGGCAACACAAACCTCCCTGTCTCATGAATGAATAATGCTGCTCTTTGCAGGGGACAGCTGTGGCTGTGCTGTGCGCATGAGGCTAAGCCATGTAGCTTGCCCCACTGACTTCCACTCATCCTGCTGAATCTGTCCCTTTCCCTGTGAAAGTCAGAGCCCTATAGCTGTTTGCCCTGTCAGAGTGTATAAAGTCAGATGAGCTTAAAGTGAAGCAACATGCTGGCTTTGCTTTCAGTTCCAAGGCAGGTTGGTTTGGCTCTCTGATCTCTCCTGCCTCTCCCCACCCACTGCTGACCTTCTCCTCCCCACTACCCCACATACCCCATGGCATTTCAAGATCTCACGAATCTTTCTGTGAGGCGGAGGAGGTTTTCAACAGGCAACTCAGAATTCTGCCCCATCTCATATAAAGCATGCAACCGAAACACCAAGGTAATCTGTACAACAATATGCTTACCCAATCTGCATTAAGATTTTTGGAAGGGAGGTTTGTGCTGGTTATTTTATTCTATGCGAGGAGGTTAAGGGGGGAAAGGGCTGGAGTACAGAAATTCACAAAGGCAAAAGGGGAGTGTCTTTAAAGGAAACGGGGGAGGGGGGAGAGAGAGAGAGAGAGAGAGAGAGAGAGAGAGAGAAGAAAGCAAAAGAGAAGTGGTAGTGGTGGTAGGGTGAACTACTGAAAATGGCATGGGGTAAAGAAATTCTGCTTCCTGTCAGGCACTATGAGTCTCAAAGTACAGGGCCCCCAGGTCAAACAATTATTTGCCCCACTGTACAGTCCGAGGGCAGAACTGCAATGCATTCAGTCTTGTCCAATGTACCCAATATGGGGCAGCAGTGACAGCAGCAAGGGGCTTCTCCTAATAGTAAGTCAGCAGATAAAGCAGGGCCTAGTACAGGGGGTGGGGGACGCTTTTTCTGCCACAGTCTCCCATGGGCAACCTCCCGGGGCTGAACGGGCGCGGGCAGAGGGGAAACTAGGCAGAGCAAGAGATGACCATTAGATCATCAAGGCACCTGTGTTACTATTCTGACCGACTGGGTTACCCTTTCCTAGCCTGCAGCTACAGTAGCCATGGCCAGTTGGGCATAAACCTCCCCAAGAACTAAGTGGAGTGCGTATCACACCAAGGGAAGGAAGGATGCTGTTGGCTCAGCACTTGACATGTCTCAGGTGAGCACCAAAGACACCTGGGAGTGAGAGACTCCCTGACGGCTGATGGTGAACCAGCACATTTCTTTATTAAATTTATATCCCCGACCCTTTCTTCAATCAAAGAAATCAAGGTAGTATCCATTGGATTCCCAGGTAATCTCCCATCATTCAGGCACTGACCAGACCCAGTCCTCCTGAGTTTCAACAAAATGCCCCCCCCTATATACCATCAGATCACACCCTAGGACTCTCTAGGGTGTACCAACTCACTGCATTAACCCCTCAGCAACCAGAGAAGGTTGGTGCCTTGCACACAGGCTAAGTGTGACACATGGCAAAAGGGTTTCTGGAGCCCACTCAGCCTGTGAGCAGAATCACGATTCGGGCTGCTGCATCCAGGGCAGGGGCGGAGGAGGAAGTGATGCATCGTGCAAGGATTGGAAGTTCACTCTGGTCTAATCCCATGCCGAGGGTTTATTCAGCGCTGGCGTCAATCAAAAATAGTAGTGGCTTAATGCTGTGAAATCCCTGGGACAGGCTGCTCAGCAGGAGGCAAATCCCTCTGCTGTGAGAGCGAGAGATGTTAGCTAGAGCTGAGCCACAAGCAGGGAGGGAGGAGAATGAATAAAGGAAGGGGGAAGATGGCTGCGAGAGAGAAAAAGATGCGTAAGTGTATGTAGGTAAGGCTGCCTTGGTAAGGGGCAGCCTGGGCTGATAACCCAAAGGAAACCTGTTTGCCTCGCAGGTTTGCCTCTTGGCCAGCCTCTCCAGCAGGCCTGTCTGTGGCCACAACCACAATGTGTCCCCAAACCAACTTGCCACACAGCAAAGCCCAAGGCAGGTCTGTTGAGCAGCCACCGCAGCCTCATTCCTCAGCAGCCTCCGCACTGCCACTGCCTGGCTCCCACCCTCTGCACAATCTCATGGCTATAGTCCAATCCACAGTTTCCCAAACTTGGGTTTCCAGCTGTTTTTGGACTATATCTCCCATCAGCCCTGACCGCTGGTCCTGCTAACTAGGGATGATGGGAGTTGTAGCCCCAAAACAGCTGGAAACCCAAGTTACAGAAAGCCAATTCTAATCTGTTAGGTGCTGGGTATACTTGACCCGTTATACCAAGTCAAACGATGAGGGCACCTAGCTCAGTGCTGTCTACACAGACTGGCAGCGGCTTTTCATGGCTTCAGGCAAGGGATAGTCCTAGCCTTACCTGGAGATGCCATGGACTGGTCCTGGGACCTTTGGCATGCAATGAATGTGCCCTTCCCTTTGAGTTATTGCCCTTCTCCTGCAGCAAGGCTGATAGCAGTATATGCGCCACAGAACTGGATTTGGCTACTCAGCTCCTTGCCACATACAAATGTGGTGGAAATGTGAGTGTTTGCTACTGCATGTCATGTGAAGCAGCAAGGGCCATAGGGGAAGCCCACAAAAGAACCAGGAGCAGATCACCCACCTGGATCAGGTTTAAGTAAAAATGGGGGACAGGGTTTGCCAGTTGTTCCCCACTGACAGTCAGCATCAGTCAGGCTCTTCCATTGGACATTGGGAAGAAGGGCAGAGAGTGAACAAGGCAGATAGAGCAACACCTCTCATCCTCATCTCGTGCCACTGACACCCCATAACTGTTCACCTTCTGCTGAGCACAACCATGTGGTGCTATGGCCCCTGGTGGTTGCAGAAATTGTCTGGGTAGGTAAGTAGGAGAGACAAAGGCAGGAGCCAAAGGGGGAGGACACTTACGTTGTTTTCTCCTCCAGGTTGAGGAAGGTCTGGATGACGAGAGGCACTTCAGACTTCACAATGTACAGGTAGCTGGACATGGCTAGGGAAGGAGACAGAAGTTAACAGGGTGCAAAAGAGTCCCATTCAGATGAAGGGGAGTAAAGATGCTTGGGAACACCACCGTGGCCCACTTTGCTGTCAGAAAGCCTTCCTGGGATGGGAACTGGTGTGTGTCTCTGTGCCATCTCCATAGCTGCTTCCTTTCCATGGCTTCCTTACCTCCAATATTCTGAAGTGTGATGGCAACGGCAGCTGCCAATTTCCCTGGAGTTCCAAAAGCCCTGTAGCCCAGCTGTTCGTAGGCTCGGATTCCTAGACAACACCAAAAATTAATAGACAAGAGAGAAAGAGAGAGAGACAAAATGACTCACATCTGTACAAAACACACAACTGTTGGACAAACTGAGACTTCAGGCCAATGTAACAGGGATTACACTGATCACCTAAGAGTCATTTTTAAAAGTCAAGTACTCAAACTGTCTGCATGAACATATTATTATTATTAGCCCCAAGAAGGTGTGGAATCATTACAGCATTCCTGTTGCTGAATAATATAGTGCATAAAGGGGCCGTGGAAACTATTTGCATTTCCTATCAGAGTTCTGTGACTATCAGTGAAGGCTGCCCCAAGACAGTACCTAGATTTGACAATACAGTGCTGCTAACCAGCGACCTTTGAGTGATGATGTCTGTATGGGACCTAAGATACCCCAAGAAGCCCAAATGATGGTCAGAGTTGATGATTTATCTGAATTCACCTGCCCAACCAGGTAGATGGAAAAGTGTCTGTCCAAGAAAAGACAAAGACTAGGAGACATAATGAGCTGAGTTTGCTGTGTAAGGAACTGAGGGTGCTAACTGCCTCCCTAGAGATCTGATGTGGGAGCAGAGGGATGGCTGACCATCAGAGCATTTAAGCTGTTCCTCTACAACCTGTATACGATCAACCTGTATGCTTTTCATAACATTTTGCTTCCCTGTTTGCTTGGTGTCCTTTAAAGCTCGATAAACCCTAATACTTTCCTCCTCCCCAACCCTGCCCATCCATAATGAAAGCACTGGAGTGAAAACTTCTCTATTTTTACATACAAATCAAACAAATGCAAATTACGTATCTTCAAAAGCACAGGCAGAAGTCTGAAAAGTCCACGTCTCTGCTTGCATCATCCTTCTGCCTTGAGAGATTTTCATTCCAGTGAAGGTTTCTGGTGCTGACAACCTTCCCTCTGAATTCAGGCATCGCTTGAGCAGAGAGGCAGTGAAGGCATTTATGGAGAGCACTCTTTGGCAGCTCAATACATCCGCTTTGGACAGAAGCACAGGAAGCTGCCTTGCACTGAATCAGGACACTGGTTCATCGAGCCCAGCATGGCCCACACTGGCTGACAGTGGTTCTCCAGGGTTCCAGGCAGGGATCTCTCTTCCACTCACAAACCCTGGAAATTCACTGAAGGCCAGAGATGGAATGGTCCACAGCACAAAGGAAAATATAACAAGCGTGAGACAGGGCTTAACTTAAGCCCACTTTGTGGGCTTTACAGAAGGTTTGTAGTACTTACCGACAATCCCTGAGGATTTGAGCAGCAAGTGGATAGAGTAGCTGGACAGTAGAGCTACAGCAGTCAAAAGGAATCTAGAAGAAAAAGAGGAAAGCAGTGACACCTAAATTGCATGTCCATCCAGAAACGCAGACTGGAGTGGGAACTTCAAATCCTTCTATTGCCGCATGCTAAACAGCTCCAGAAGCACCTGAGGATTTATCTTCTGAGGGCTTTCTGCAGGAATAACTGAAGCACATCCCAACTACGTTTTAGTAATAGGCCCATAATTCCAAAAGCACTATATCCCATCCACATGGATTAGAGGGTACCTGTGTGTTTGGGAGTGGGCAGGGGAAAGACAGCTTTGTGAAAGGGGATATCCATGTTGTCATGTTTTGTTTTGCTTTGTCTTGAAATGGCGAGATGGGATAGAAGAAGAACGACCACCTCTCCAAATATAAAGGGACCCTGTAACATCTGAAACTTTTACAAATTTATGTGAGATGTTTATATATATATATAGAGAGAGAGAGAGACAGAGATTCACAACACAGTGCCAGCATATTGTTGTTGTGATGATTTACTGCATCTTGCCCTTTTATTGTTTCTTTTCTTATATTAACATGCCGTGCGCTGCTTTGGGGGCCTTTGGGCTGGAAAGCAGTATATCAACAGACAATAGTCCTAAGGACAGGGGACTTGTGCCACTTGCTGTTAATCTCATCCCAAGCAATATGCTGTGGGTGTCCATGACACTCGTGCCATCACAGTCCAAAATATCAACTGAAGCTGCAATGAATCGTATTTTCCATAGGAACAAAACATCTCTTTTTTTCAGTGCCTGGAAAGTGCCCTATCTCTGCAACAGAAGCATAGCCTAGGCTGAATACAACAAAGTAAGAAAGAAATACGCATTGGTTTCACAAAAATATCCCATGGAAAAGCCCCACAACAGGTTGCCATCCAGTTTGTGTTGCTTCCTCCCTTAGCGGATGCTAAGCTCACAGAGTGGGGGGTGGAGAGAGGCAACAGACTGAAGGCGCAGCTCCATAAGAGCATTAACCTGCTGGCAACTATCCTCCATTGGCTCCCCTGAAGATGCACAGAGGCTCTTGTCAATCAGCAGCTGCGGCTGTAATGCCATTCCGTTACGTAACGATTCATTTGTAAAAGGTGAGCAATCCTGTCCAGGGGATCAAGTACTGGGCAGGATGCCAGGAGAATTCAGAGCAAGAGCTGTTGCATGTATGCACACATAGGCACGTACACACACACACACACACACACACACACATGAAAAGGGACAGCAGGATCATGCTGGGAAACTCAGCTAGATGGGCGGGGTATAAATAATAAAATTATTATTATTATTCATTAGGAAGTGGCAGATCTTGCTGCTCAGAATAGGAGCCTAACCCTACCATGGAGCATCAAAAACATCAAATTCTTTCTTGTCAAAGGTACTTAAGAGCAAATCTTAAGGCTTGGATAGGATGCTAAAGGAAGAGGGGCTCCTTCAGGCATTTGGGTCCCAAGCCATGTAGGACTTTTAGCTCCTTGGAGAAAGGGTGGGTCATGAGACTGACAAAATCAATCAATAATCACATCCAGGCACTTTTGTTTACAGCACAGATGAGAGCAAGTTAAACAATCTCTGCCATCCCCAGTAATATAGACATTAATTTTTCAGTGTTTAAAATTTTCAGCATCCTGCTTCTCAGATTATATAGATACCTAGATTGGCTGGAGCAACCCAGGTAGATGGGTGGGGTACAAAGAATAAAACTGTTGTTGTTAGACACATACCCCACTTCAGTCTCACAACACATAGAGGTGATGGGGCAGAGAAGGAATGGGTGGGATTCAGCTAAACTGTGGCATGCATGGAACAAGGTGTGCTTATGCAACAGGAGTTTCCTGTGCTCCATAAATCTGCTCTGGAAGACCAAGGGAACCCCCAGAACAAGATTAGGGCATACACAGAGAGTGGGGTGGGGAGAGATGGGAAGGTCCCATTCCATGAGCAGACCTTGTTCTCCCCACTTAGCTCTACACTGAATTGCACCCATTCCCTGAAAAGAGCGACAGAGAAGAAAATGATGCCAATGCCAATATATATAGCCCCAAAGACAGCATTTCCTCATCTGAAGCAACAACCTTTTTTATTCAAATTCTGAAAGAGGCAGGAGGCATTGTCACTTCAGTTATTGTGATCTCTTTGTAGTATTTTGGGGTGGGGTTAGTTTATTGTACTATAATACTTTTTTTTTAGGTAACCTGTCCTGGGATTTTACAGAGAAGGGCAGGTAACAGCAGCAAGAGCAGCAGCAGCAGCAGCAACAACAACAACAACAACAGCACTAATTATAATAATAGATTGGGCTCATGCCTGACAATTTCCCTCTCTGTTGAAGTAGCTCTTCTTGATGAAAATCTGTAGTGATGCCTGTGGCTGGCTGTGTGTTTTTGCCCTTTCAAGGTTTCCAAGTTCATAGTCTGAATCACAGCCACACTGAATAGCTGCCTGTTTTATTTTGGTTAGCTGCGTGTTTTTCTCTCTGCCCACTGTACTTTCTGCATATATATCCATCATGGTTTCAGTCTACAGTCTCTCTCTATATCTATCTCCAAGGTTAGAGAGGCTCCTGGGTGCAAAAATATTGCTAGGTGGTGTTATCCCATAGCAGTAGCTTCTTAGAGTCCTATATCTTTGATTCTTTCCTTCCTCACCTTAAGCATTAATGGTTGGATATGCTTTAAGAACGTTAGGCTCCCAGTTCTTCCATAATGCTACTTGCACTTGCCTCCCGTGTACGTTTGTGAACCTGCAACCTTGGCATTATCAGCACCACACTCTAACCAACCGAGCTATCCAGGCTGACTTATCATGGGTCCCAGCTTCCATTTCTTGGCTATGCTGGGCTTCCCAGTTTTCTGGCAGGGCAGGTGTTCACACTGGAACACCGGCGTGACCAAAATGGGGGGGGGGGGGAGAATGCATCGTGTCCCTAGAGATAACTTTTCCCCACCTAAAGCAGAAGCAAACAAAATAATTTCATTTCAAATCCTGCCTTGCTACCCAAAAGCTGGCTAACGAATAAAATGAGACAGTACAAACTGCAACAAATGGAATAAAACCCGGGAATAGGCCACAGCCCAGCAAAACCAGTCCATAGCATTCTTATAAACAGAACTAAGCAGCAAGAACTAAGCAGTTTATAAAACTGGGTCCTAACCAGCTTCCAAAAACTCAGTAGTGACGACACTTTGGCACTTCCTCAGCAAGTGAATTCTACAATAAAACACCAAGAAGACGCTTTGTCTTGAAGCCACCTCTCTCACCTGAGAAAGTGAGAATAGAGCTCTCTAAGGTGATCTTAAGAGCACAGGGAGTAGGTGGGTAGATTTATATATGGGATCTATTGTGGTTCAAGGTTCTGTGGTAGATGTGCCAGCATCTCCACATCTACGAAGAACAAAAAACTAGAAAGCACCACAGACTGGCTCCACAAACCTTCCTTCCATTTGTACAGGAGCAGTGCAATGTGGGTTAGACAGCTTTCCTTTTTCGTTATATATGAATCTTGAGATTCATGGGATTCCGCATCTCCTGCTCCATTCAACACCAGACTACTAGGTTTTGTACTGTGCTGATCTTCCATTCCACCCTCTACTAAGTTTTTTTTAAGCTCCTCAATCTGATTTGTGTAGTATTTACAAGGGCAGGACCAAATTGTACTTGGTGCCATTTAGAGGAAGTACTTTCGCTGAAGTGATCTGCCTTGTGAAGCTGCCTAGGGCTGGCAGACTGAGCTCCCTATCCTGTATGAGCTGTTTGGCCGTAAGGGCAAAGCCTGGGCTTGCGCAGCCTTCCCAAGGCCTGGGGAGCTCAGCTACCCTGTGGAGAGTTTCTGTTTCGTTGCCTGACTACGTACGGCAGGGTTCAGCCAGGGACAGTGCTGAGGCATCCAGTCTGCCTCTCCTCAGCCTGTCAAGCCACGGTTTCTTTAGCCAGGGCACAGGATGTCTCCTTCCAGACAAAAATGAAGATGGCACTGTTTCTGAGGCCTCCTGTGGATAATAGCCACATTCATATTCTCCCTACCTGAGGCATTGTTCTTAATATTGGTATATTGGTTCCTTAAACTTGCTGGAAAGCCCTTGTTTCAGCACATTCCTTGAAGTAATCTACCTAGGAACAGACTGATGGTTTAGATGGGAACGTGGGGTGGGCTGGGGAGGGAGGCTGTGGCCAAAATGTGGATGCATATACTGACAAGGCTGGGAATTAACATGAACAAGACCTTTCCTGTAGCCACCAAGCAGGGACGCAGGCTCATTATGGTAAATGGGGCACCAACCTTAGTCTGTCCTCAGCCAGCCACCACCCTGCCTCCTTATACTTAGAACCAGTACAAGGGGTGGTCCTGGCTCTCTGCTTCCTCCTCCTTAGTCTCAGACTTGCCTTTGTAGAATTCAGCAGGGAGGATGGGGACAACACCAGAATTACTTGGCTCCCCCTGCTGTTGGCCTCCCTGCCTTCCACCCTACCAGTCCAAATGGGCACCAGCCAACACTGCCATTAAATGAAACTGGCAGACATTAGAAGGTCTTTGCAATGATAGGGAAAACATGTTCACAAGGTCACTGCCTTTCCATAATGTTAAGATCAGAAGGGCATGTAGGGAGACATTTTTTTCTGTGAATGTTCCACCGTTGTGGAACTCTTCTCTCCTGGAGACTCACCAAGTCTCATTCCAAGTCTGAGCATCTTTTGTGAGAGTTTTATAGCCTTCCTGCTTGACCTGGCTGCTTGAGGTTAAGCCACTTTGTTTTCTTTTTAAGGAAAAAAAGGAGATTTTTTTGTTTGTTTGTTTTAAATAGAAACCAAATATTACAACGTGGGCTAAAATGTATATACTAAAGGGGAAATTATTCGGGGTAGGTGGATGGAGACATGGGAAGGAAATGAAGTTGTGAAGCAAAAATTAAAATTAAAAAATGATGCGTTGGGCAGAATAGTGGTAACTGGGTTAGCTAAGGACATAAATAAGAGCCCTTCTGAATCAGAGGAAGGGTTCATCCTGTTTAGCTCCCTGTTTCTAAGATTAACCAGCCAGATGTCTGTGGAAGCACGGCATGAAAGCAGAAGCCTTTCCTTGTTTATTGTCCCCAGCACCTGGCAATCAGATGTAGACTTCCACTGAACATGGAGGTTCATATAGCCAGGAAGCTACATGGCTGTCGATAGAATGTATCCCCCACTAGTTTCTCTAATTCTTTTTAAATACATCTTTAATGATATGCAAGTTAGTGGCCGTCACCAAACCTTGCAGCACTGATATATAAAATTGCACTGTGTGGAGATGTAATGGTTGCAGCATTATTACGAGGCTTTCTGAATCTGGAAGAGCATGATGCTGCATCATGTTGAGTCAACCTGGCTGTAACTTTTGTGGGGAGGGTTTTGAGTTGTGATACTATGTTTGGAGCTCGGACTTCACTTTTGTTTTGTGGTCTTGGGCACTTCACCTGTCTCCATATTGCCCATCATGCAAATGCCTCTGGGAATCTGAGAAGAAGGAATCAAGCCATGTTGCTTGTTCCCAGCAGCTGTTACTCAGAAGTATACTTTTTCTAGACAGGGAAGCTCCATTAGATATCATGTTTGACGGGGGGGGGTTGTCCATGGGCAGCGCAGGTAAAACACATTCTGGGTGAACAGAGGTGAGGAAAGGTGTGGCAAGACTAAACTTGGGCATAGTACCACCACCACAATTTGGGCATAGCAGTACCACCACGGTTGCTATTACCTGGCAGCACAGGAAAGAATCAAACTGAAACAATCTGTGTTATTCATTAGTTGCCGCTGTGCAGAGTCTGGCCTTCTGGGCCTCACCCATCCCAAGGGTGTGTTTCTGGACAGGGAGAGATAAAGCCAAGCACACCGCGGGCAGCGACAAGGAAAGATATTGGCAGCAGTGACAGAGGTGCCAGCAGCTGGGTTATCAAGGAAAGAAAAGTAGAGTGAGCTTCAGACATCTCACTCCTTGCGCTTTATAGCTGAGGCAGCTCTCCAAGACCCTTCAACTTTTGGCACTAATTGGCAGGCAATTTGGTACACAGGACAGGGCTGCTGAGCTGCTGCTGAGAAGGCAGGCATGCTGCTGTCAGTGGACTGCTCAGGGATGGGCTGACACTGGAGGGGGGGGTGTCACATCAATGATAAGACACAAGGAAATTACCTAGCAAGAGGCCCCATGGGTGGTCAGGAGCTGGAACATTATATTTTCAAGCCCAAGATAGCAATACTACATGTACCAACTTCAAGTGAAAAGTGCTCAGCTAGGCTGTGCTGTCATGTGCTGCCTTCTGGCAGGAGAAGGGCCTTCCCTTTTCTCTAGGGACCCTGACAAGAAGGGCTGCCCAGTGCCACAGAGGGCTGAGTGAGCCACCTACAATGGCCTTTTATGTATTTCTGCCTGCTGTTCCTTCCACTTCACAGGCACTTCCTTTCTCCCGCTGGAGGGCATGTTAATGTGCCTAAAATGACTGCGGCCAACAAAATCTTTGTTTCACACCAACAGCTTTCTAGGTGATGTGCAAAAGAGAAAAGCCCACTGACGGGACTGCTTCACTTGGCTCTCCATTCCAAAGAGGTGCATTCTGGGTGGTTCTCCAGGCCTCAGTCCCTCCTGGTTCTAAAAGCCAGAGGAAGGAGGAAGGAAGGGGCATGGGAACCATTTCAGTAGCCCACGTTGTCGAACTCAACTGCCTCAGCACTTCTCAAATCATCAATAGGCTATAGTCATGTTTGCCCCTAGGCAGGAGGCCCCAACCTGCCCCAACCCACCTGCCACTACCCACACAGTATAAGCCTAACAAGCCTCCTTTGTCTCTTTCATCCCAAAGCCCAGCTGTTTTCTGATTCAGGAACCACTCTTGCCAATGACCTTAGCTCCAAACAGAGGAGGAACACTCAACTTTTCTATTCAGAGGATGTAAGTCCAGACTGTCCCCTCACCACCTCAATGAGGGGAAACATCCAATTGTACCCCAGTCCTCAGCACAGCGGTTTCTAATCATGCTGGGAAGCATGCCACCTCATGCTACCGCATCTCCAGGAAAATGTAAATCAATGTTCTCCAGTTTAACTATAGCAAAGCCATTAAGCTGCACTAGAAACACTGGGCATGTCTTCTTTTCTTTTTTGCAGTTCCCCAAATATCAAGATTTTCACACTTTTGTACTATGCAAATCCCCGAAATATCAATTTAGAAAGAAAGCTATGTGATATATCTTTTTTTTAAAAGTCATGTTTATGTGATAGAATTTTAGTCTCAAAAATGGAGCAGAAAGGGCTAAGCAGAGTGTTAATGAGTGACATGTGAGTGCTGCTTGAAGCAATCCATATGTAGTGCTTCTCCACATTTATTTTATTACATTTATATCTTGCCTTTTCTTCCATTATGGATCCCAAAGTGGCGTACACAGGTTTCCCTGGAGGTCTCTCATCCAGGCACTGACCAGACCCAAAACTGCTTAGCTTCAGAAAGGTGGTAGCCTCATGTGCTTTTGGACCATCCCCTGAGACATGGTGGGTAAAGCATACAAAGCCATGGCAAGGAAAGACTCCCTGCTGCCACCACACTCTGCAGAGCCAGCTCAAGCAGAAGAATGGAGAAGAGGAGGCAAAAGGACAGGAAAGGGATGGCTGGCAAAATCTTTATCTAAAGGAGGCCTTCCTAGCACTGAAGGAACATCACAGCAGTAAAACTAATACCAGTTTGATGAAGCAATTTAAATGCTAAATCCAAAATGATCCAAAAGGACAGCATTTAGAGCAGGATAAGATCAGACTGCCCAAGCTACTAGTGAGATATAAGGGGATGGTATGCATATATTCATAGCTCTTCTGGAAATGGCACTTACAGAAATAGGAGGATACCAGTGTTGGCCATGGCATATGCCAGACCGAGGATCCCGCTGCCCATGATGGCATTGCTGAGGTTGAAGACGGACATCCCGAAAGAGGTCTTTCCTTCAAACTGTAGGGAAAGTAAAATAGGCAGAGAGAAAGTCAGAAAGAGAGTCTGCTGGGAAGGAGTTGGGGCTGCTGTCTTATCTCCTCTTCCCCAGCCCTCTTTGGCCTATTCCTCCCCATATGTTCCTTACATTACGTTTGGGAGGGGAAATGTTGAGAAGGGTGCTATGGAATCCTGCTCCCCCTAGAATGATGTCTTAGTGCAGTTCCCAGAATTCAGGTCCGCAACTAGTTTTTCCTCTCCATCTTTCCTGCAGGCAAGTTCTCTTGCCTTCCATTCTACCCCCCCCCCCAACTAAATGATGAAGACTACGGAGCCATATGGCTCTCTGAGGAGGTTGGATTTAGCCCAAAGGCTGGTAATCCCTATACTGGTAGGTAGCAATTGATGGTGGATGGCTTTCTGGAATGGAGTTGCATGGCTGCTATCTAACCCATTTGCAGAATAATACCGGCCTCACATGCCCCACTGCTTTGACACCTTAGCTCCCAACCAAACGAATTTAAGAGACCTGAGCCTCTGTATTGTGAAACTGTACTGTACTTACATCAGTGAAATGAGTCTGTTTCTTTTCAGCACCGTGTGGAAGGAACTCCTCCATCTCTGGCTGGTTGTCATCAAATCTGGATGGTGGGAAAGGACAATGCTTGTTAAAGTGATTACCCTCCTCTTGAAAGTTTCCCTACTAAGAGCTTGGGCACATGGGATGGTGGTCTGCAGAGTATCCTCTTATATACCCATTGTCTGCTTGCTTAGCCAAACTGGGCAGATATTAGAATCTTCAAGAGTCTTCCCTTGCAGTTGGTCAATGTATAGCCTCTGCCGATTCATACGTTACAAAGAAAAAGAGCTAGGCATTGTTGGAACTCCGTTTGACCGAGCTACTCCTCTGGTCGAGTCTTCGGAATCTCCTCTGATGGTGATTAACGACCTAAGCCTTTAATGAGGCTTCAGGCATGTTCCCTCATTATGCAGAGTATCCAAACAGCAGAAGGAGATGGAAATATGAGCTACATCGCTACATTTATTTCTAACTACGCAGGACAGAAAAGAATATATATCTGCTCTCTGTGAGAGTCAGTGAACCAACTGGAACAAAGAAACAGGAAACTAGCAACATCAACATCCGTCTCCCATCTCCTGTGAGACTTCCAACAGTCTGGAATGTAAACAGAGTCTTGTGACTCCAAGCACTGCACAGTGGCATAACAGAAACCTAACAGGCATCACCAGCATACTGATCACACTGTGCCCCAAATCTCCTTATACATGCAGGTCCTGCTTACCCAACACAATGTGTTCCCAGGAAATCATTCGTTAGGTGAGCCTTCGCACAACGAGCTGATGATTTCCGTTACTTCCTATGGGAACATTTCTAATCCACGATTTGTCCAATGTCTCTCCCCTTCCCTCTATGGTTTCTTCCTAAAATGACTGCAGCCTACCAAGTAAGGACACAGGAAAACTCTGGCTCTTCAGATATCTGAATCCACAGTGTGCATAGCAAGGTTTGGGTACTACAGTGGTGCCTCGCAAGACGAAATTAATCCGTTCCGTGAGTCTCTTCGTCTTGCGGTTTTTTCGTCTTGCGAAGCACGGCTATTAGCGGCTTAGCGGCTATTAGCGGCTTAGCAGCTATTAACGGCTTAGCGGCTTTAAGAAAAAGGAAACAAACTCGCAAGAACTTGCAAGACGTTTCGTCTTGCGAAGCAAGCCCATAGGGAAATTCGTCTTGCGGAATGACTCAAAAAACGCAAAACCCTTTCGTCTAGCGAGTTTTTCGTCTTGCGAGGCATTCGTCTTGTGGGGCACCACTGTAATTCCTTGTGTTTGGATAAGTGATTTTTCACCTAGTGAGCGTTTGGAAAGCAGGGCCAGCGTGTATGTTGAATAACACTGGAGATAAAGTAGCAGCATCCTACATTCCAACCACCAGGGTGGCAAGACACAATTACTCAATGCTACTCCTTGATACCAACTCTATGAGAAGGTGTGGATCTGCTGTAAAACAGCACCATCAGCTCACAGAGGTGACACAGAAGCCACCAAGAAAGCAAGCAGGAGCGATAGGGTCCTAAGCCCCCTTGTCCCTCTCCAATTGGCTGTACTGCAATATCCCATCTACACTGCGAAAACAGCTGCAAATGTGATTGGATAAATAAAACTCTAGTGAAGAATTATGTGCTGCAAAGTTTCTCTTCCCTACCCTACCCCTCCTTTTAAAATTTGTCTAGATCTGGACTGCTAACAGTTCAGCAGAAACTCTTAACAAATAACCGGAGCTTTCTTGACAATTTCACATCCAGTTGTAGCCTTGAAGTAAGCACAGAACAACGTAAGAAAACATAAGAAAATGCAAGAAAAAAGTATGAATTTATAAACTGATCTGTGGGAAGGCCCAAAGTCTCAGCTGTACCAGGGTCCAAAATCACTGTCTTTCATGCGACACTTGCAGCACTATCATCACCCACTCACCTGCACTCCAGATTATCATCTACTCTACTCTAGAATGATTACTGAATGGTGGCCAGGAGTCATTGGCAGTGCTTTGTACTCACTGAAAGAGCTCTAATTTCATGGGAAGGAGAGTGGACTTGTATTGAGGAAGATTTTATTATCTTCAGCGCAGCAATCTCACTCTCAAGTCTAAAACACCAAGGTTGCTATGGCTCACCTGTCATTCCCCACGGAGGGGATGGAGGAAGCATTTAAAGATGAGTGTTTCCCATTCGGCACCAGCTCTACCATCTCCGTCTGGATGGGGATAGCCATGGAGTTCATCTTCGCCCTCTGATGTGAGCCCCTTCTCTTCTTCCCTGGCAGTGAGCTTTCAGACAAGTAGTGGGCTATACAACGTGGAGACGGAATCTGCACAGAGCGGCGGTCTCCTTAGCAGTGCTGTGTCTGCAAAGAAACACCCATCAAATCAGATATGTGACCCGATGAAAAAAAGCTGTTAAAGATTTGGCATAGAGGAATTGAACATGTCCAGCACAGGAAAGAAAATCAGGCATTGCTGTATACATTGAAGGATGGCAGGCATGTGTGTAAGATTGCAAAAGTCTCAGTCACAAGATTATTAATGAGAATTACGGAACTCCCTAAAAACCAGCCATTGTCCAAATTTTGTCCACTTGGGATCACTCCAGAACGGTCCTGCTAGAAATGGCTGACAACCACTTAAATTTCTTTTCTAACCAGCAAATGAATGCATTCCGTACTGTTGATGCTGGTTTGGGTGTAGCAAGCGGATGGTGAGAGAGATAACATGTGAGTGGGGAAATCTTCCTTTATGCTTCCGTAGGCCACCTTGTAGGATAGCCCAGCTTTGGAGCATCAGAGCCCTGGCTAGCTTCTCACTCTTCCACCTGCTGGTATATCTCAGTGAGATTCCACTACTTCTATCTTTGCACACAGTGTACCAACAAATTCAAGATACACCCGATAATAATCTTCAGCTTTGGGAGATGCTAATCGCAACCATGACATCATTCATTTGGGCTCTTTCCACCAATCACAGAGATAAGAGAAAGGCTTCAAAAACCTGAGCATCAAACAGCCCAAGTGTGACGTTGCTCTCACAATTCCCCACTGCAATACAATCTGCACTGCATGTACCCTGACACTGTAAGAGTGTCAGGACCTCCTGCCCACAAGAAACGTCATTCCTTCCCTGGGGCTGCCTTTCACTGCATTTTCTTTGTAGGCCATCTGCTTCCCCGGGCCCAAACACCCTTGTTCAGGGAAGGCGTCAGAGGCCGGCATGATAAGGCACTTGCCAAGGCCCATATTCCACCAGGGGGCCTGCTGCTGATCTCCAGAGATCCCTGGTCCTGCTCCTCGTTCTTGTTCTTCCAAGTAAGTGAAGGCTGTGACTAAAGCAAGGAGAAGCAGCACCACTCTCCATCTGCCTGATGAAGATCAGGCCCAGAGGGAGAGAGCAAGCAGACGGGCAGTAGAAAGACGGGGGTCCCAGTGATGCCATATTGCCGAAGGACCCCACGGAGCTTGTAGTGTGTACTGCCCTTGTTTGTCTTGTGTCCATCCCCTCCCTTTAGGCGTTGCTCCTACCCACTCCCAATAACATCCTCTTCCTTCCTTGCACCCTCCTAGCTGCAAGCATCTGCAGTGTTATAATAAATAATAATATTGGTTTGTTTTTATTTTTGTTTTATTACATACTCTGTATTCTCATTTTGTATTTTTCTGTAGTGAACCACTCTGGGATCTTCGGATGAAGGGCGGCATACAAATTTTAATAAATAATAATAATGATGATGATGTTTGCAGTCCTTGCAATCTTTCCAGAGCTTGGTTTGTTCCCGACCTTACTTTCCCTTGCCGCTTTGACACCTGCTCCTCCCCTCACTGTGCTTGTCCTTACATGAGACTTACCCCCGCCTGTCTAAATGGCTCCTTCGCAAGCTTCCCATAGAGTTAAGTGTAGCTCTAAATGTCACGCTTAGAAAATCTCCTGGCAACTTCGACTTCCGGGTCAGCGCCATTGGTGAATGGCGGAGTTCCTCCGACTGGAGGAACGGGCTCCGTGAAAATTGGGTCTTCCCGCCGCGGCGAAGGTGGGCACCCGCTAGAAATCCCAGACGGAGGAAGCCTGGGAACGTGGGGTTCGGCAGGGCACCAGAAGCGCCCCCCTACTCGCGGGGAATCCCATCTAGGGGCTCCGGAGCGAAGTGGGCTGAGAAGCGCGGTGCTACAAACTGACTGCTACTTTCACGGAGTGAAGCCGCACAGCCATTGCCAGAGAGCGCTGACTTTTTCCTGTGGACAATTGGACTTAAAACAAGTACCCGTGAGTAGAAACGGAAAATTGGATCAAGAAATTGTTTTAATTTGGTATCGAAGCGGGAAGGTGCAAACAGGAAGTCCGCCTTCCGCTTTTTTGTATATAGATTAAAGCAAAAATTTTGCAAGCTAAAGCCGGGAAGCTGTTAAAAAAGGACTAAATTTCCTTCATTTAGAATCACTGAAACCCCCCTTGGAAGCAGGAGAAAAGGGGGGGGACTCTGTTTAACCCCAGCAGGAGAGGGAGTGAAGAAGGATAAGTTTCCACCGTCTCTAACCTGGGAACAGGGTGTCAGAGACAGAAACTGTTGGAGAGGTTCATTGACTGTGAACGTAACACTTTGACAGATAGCTAATGAAGAGAAACAAGTTGATTCTAATGTTGCCTTTTGCATCTTAAAGAAACAAAATATCTGAAAAACGTCTGAAATATCTGAAAAATGAAAGTAACTTTCCTTTGTCTATAAAAAAAAAATGGATACAAGTAGATTGTCTCCACTAGAGGGAGCTTGCTAAATTGTTGTTGCAGCATATTTGAGACCCAACATCTGTGAGATTAAGACTGTGGGAACAGTCTTTTCTGACCTTGAACAAAGATGAGCTGGGAGAAAGACTGGCTGCTTGCTCTATGCAAGACAAATGCTTTGCTGGAACAGATGCATGAAAAGATGGACTTGATGAATAAGAAAATGGATTTGACTGTTGTGGTTAATAACATTGATACAGAAATCATCCAAGAACCAACCTATCAATCTGTACCGACTGGGCAAGTGCAGTTGACAATGGAGGAGGATGCGGCTGCACCTCAAATAGTACAAATGGAGAGACCCGAGGCCCTACAGGAGCATAATCCGCTGCTATTGAAGACTGAAGTTGGAGTGGGCCAAGGGGAGTCTGGAGATGAGGAGGTTCCTAGCTTTGGAGAGATCTTGAAATTTGATTTTAAATTCATTTTGGATTATATCGAGGACTGTGGGGAGTGGGACTGTGGGGAACGGGCGAGCTGGATGAAGGGTGATGGAGACAATTTTGGGTTGGAATCCCCCAGAGACCTACTCCTCAATGAGAAAGGAAAGAAACTAAGACAGAGACCAACAAGAGACAAGGAAAAGGGCAAGCACAAACAAGATGAAGAAGAATTGCAGAAGGGACATGGAAGAGATTTAAGGGCCTCGGACATAAGGCTTCCAGGTTGATGGACTAGATGGAATGGACAATAAGGACTGACATGACCCGAGACCAGGAAGAAGAGACGCTGGATGATGATTGGAAGAGAATTTATAATGGAATTTTTTTTTATTTTAGAATCAGCTAATGAATATTAGGGAAAATGTGGGAATGAAACTATACGACTCTAGCAGAAATGATATCAGGAGCTATGTATATTTGAAATTTAAGATTTAAGTCTTAAGGCACTTAGGGGTAAGATAAGGTTAAATAAATTAAGGTAATCTGAATAATAGAATATGGGGAAAGATGGTAAGGATTTGTTGAGTTAATTATTAGGTTAAATTGTTAAGATAAATTTTATAACAAAAATTGAGAAAGATGGAAAGAATTTGCTGAAATAATTACTAAACTAGAATACAAAAACGGAGGTGTGAGGAGGTCAATGAAACAAGCAAATGGAAATTATGGATATGCAATTTGGGATTTGTGTTTTTTTTCCCTTTTTTTCTTTTTTTCTTTTTTATTGCTGTATTGTCGTGTGCTTTTCTCTTTTTTTATTGTCTTCTTTTTCTTTTTTCTTTTTTTGTATTGTAGTGTTGTTTTTTATTTTTTATTTTTCTTGTAATTTTGAAATTATCAATAAATATTATTTAAAAAAGAAAAAGAAAATCTCCTGGCAACTTCATCTCTGACCGCAGCCATACATCTGACCGGGCTCAGGAGCAGAAAAGATACTTGGCTCACTCCCCTTAGTGTTTAATTTTTAAAATTAGTGTTGCAAAAGTCATGCTTCCTGACCTGGCCAGCCCACTGTAGCCCCACATACTTGAGGACTGTGTAGTTAAACCAGTGATCAAGGAAAAGCAGACTGTACACGCCTGCAACATTCTCTTAAGATTGATCAAAGGCCTAGTCCTTGGTGATTCTTCATTGAAAATTAATTGCCAGTCTCTTCCTGAAGCACCCCAGGGTCTTCCATTTTTCTTCCCTCTGTTGCCAAATGATTCCTGTGAAATGCTAGCCTAATTCTTTTCTTTTCAAGACATTGTAAGAGTCGGACACGACTAAACGACTAAACAACAACGTGTTGTGTTTTGCATTCATTTCCCACTCTTATTCCAAGGACCTCAGGTTCTTTCTCACCTCTGCCCTTTTGTCACAACAACCCTGCGGGGTACATTTAGGATGAGAAACAGTGAATGGCCCAAAGTCACTCAGTGAGCTTCATGGCTAAGCAGGGATTTGAAACCAGCTCTTCTTATGCTTATCTGACATAGTTACCTGCAAAGGTTTTTGAAAGAATTGTGCTAACAAAGCTTTTTTTTTGTTTGGCAAAACTGATTTCTGCTTTATTGGGCATTTAAGAGTACAGAGAAACCAGTGGCTTGACTCTGGGAATCTTTGTCTGATCTCCTGGTGACAAAGATAAAATTTTAAAAATCAGTACCATTTGAGAAAACTCTGCAAGAGGCACAGGAAGAGCTCTGCAAAAAAGAAAAAAGAAAAAAGAAAACAAAACAAAATAAACAACTTTCTCAAGCTGTTAAATAGTTCTATTTCTTGCTCCACAGTCTCTCTCTGTCTTATACACATACTTGTTTAAGGGTGTCAGTACCAGAAAAAAGCAGAAACAAAGCATGAATGGGCAAGGGAGATAAGTGCTCTTGGATCACCTTCTGATGATCAAAAACATCCCAAACCCTGGTCTTGTTTGCCAATGGAACAGAAAGCAAAATAAATAATTAAATCTGAGCTTATTTTGTTATTCAACACCGCCGGTTACTCATTTCAGATGTCCTAATTGCAACCTCCTTGTAACATATCAAATAGATGCTAACAATAGTTTAAGCAGCAAAACACCAACCCCATCCTTTCCAACAAACCAAGTTTGTGATTCAATCCATTGTACTTAAGAATCCAGTAGGGTAACAAGCTTGAGTTCCCACGCACATCCCTTCCTTTGACTTTTTCCAGGGCACAAAATCAACTGATAGAGAGATGAGAGAACCAGTGGTTGAAAGTGAAAGAGAGCAAATGCAGCAAAACATGACGGAACACCAGAATAGAGTATCAGTATAATGTTAAGGGGATTCCTGCCAAAGATCTAGCCTGCAATCCGAAACACACACTTACCCGGGAGCAAGTCCCACTGAACTCAGCAGGGCTTAATTCTGAGTAGACGTGTCTAGGATTGCACTGCTAATCTACTTTTGTCACTGTAGAGATCAGACTTGGGAAATGTTTGGATGCCCAGAGGTAACAAATAAGCCAACCTCAACTGTGATTGTTTGTGACTGACATAGACTCCTAAAATGTCAACATACCCACCCCAACAAGGCAAACGAAAACAACTTTTGTGCTTTTTGTTCCCCCTAGTTTTAGCAGAAGGGAGAACTGAAATAAGCCCTTTCACATTGCTTTTCAAGAAACAGCCCTTCATTCTCTGTAGGGCACCCCATTTTCTGCTCCCAGTTCCTATGCAACAATACTGCCAGGGTTAGAAAAACCCCAAGGCACACCTGCAGCCCCTTTTTACACGACTCCATTACTCAAAGCATTGAGAGTGGGGGTCAGGTGAGGAAGGGGGGGATTCACACGTCTTTGTACTGCGGTGTGAGAAGGACAGGAAGCTTCTGCCATGCTCGATCTTGTTGCAACAGTGGTGTCACATCACCACAAACATATATACATCATACACTCCATAGACTGATAGGTGGTTTTTGCGGGCACTGGTTTCAACAACCCTTAGGTATGCCTCTGCTGGCTGGATATACCGACAGACTTTCCTTTTCCAGGTAGTTGGACAAACTCCTAACTCCCAGCTCCGACATGGGTGACAGTGGATTTTGAGTGCAGGTAGGTCTCATGACCCCCACAAGGGACCCCAGCAGACCTTTCATTCCTCACACATCCCTATTTACACATCAACTCTGTGCGGCATTTTCAGGAACTCTCACATTTTCTGGGCTTCTTTCAGCTGCCGCACACTTTCCAAGCAATCATTCTGATACAGATATGAACCTCAGGCATTTGGTGTGCCTTTGGTGAGTTTGAGTGACAGGAAATTGGGACCGGAATTGCCGGGAGGGGTGGGTTGAAAGAACATGACACTACAGTCACAGAAGCTGTCAGATGTTGTGATCGTGCAGCTGCATCTAGGGAGGAGCATAGTAGGATTGCTTAACCTCACTGCATGCTCGGTACAGACAATAAGCCTAGGCGGGTCCTGTGTCCAATGGGCATTCAACAGAAACTCGATGCCATCCTCTTGCAATCTGTGTCAATGCTTAATTCACGCTCACTGATAAGAGTTGTGCCTCATGAGGGGCCTGTGCAGATTTCATGTTTGGTGCTGCCATTGTAGTTTCCCCATCAATGCCCATTAGTACTTTCTCCTTATTCACTGTAACCAAGTTACCTCTTAACCTTCCTTTTAGATGCTAAGCAGACTTGAGCTCCTGAAATCCCTCCTTGTGAGCAGAGCAAGCCTCAGCCCTTGGGAGTTCACAGTCACAACTGAACCAAAACTGACAAAAGCACTTGACCTGATGCCCTGGCAGCATCTCCAACTCCTGTGCCTGAAGCACAAAGGAAGGAGAGAGGGATTCAACATCTAGGAAAGGTGATGGCGGAGGAGACAGGAGGACAAGAAACGTGTTTGCAGAAGCCTGTGGGCTCAACTTATTGCAAAAGGATGCAGAATACTGGCAGCAGCAATTGAAGAAGGAAATGGCAGTGATTAGGAAGGAAATCCTATCTCTACAGGCAATCCAAACACAGGGCACACACACACTTGCCCCAATAATTAGAGGCCCTCCTTAATGATGGAGAAATGGCACGATTAGCTTCTTCGTACATTTGAGAAAACCGTAACAGAGGGTCCAATGCATTCTCGTGAAGTTTTTTCCCTAGTACTGCAGGTTCAAACAAGGTGCTGCATTTAGTTTTGCCAGTACTCATATAAAGGATGCCAGTCCCTAACCCTATCCTTTAAAAGCTGAATGAGAAGTTCACCCAGTGTGAGTTCTCCCTCAGCATGAAGACACAGTTGCTGGTTCAGTTGCTCTGAGATTATGTAGCCTGGCTTAGGAAGACAAGAAGAGGCTGCTTTATGCCAAGTCAGGCAAATTGGTCCCTCTAGCTCAGTATTGCCTACAATTGACTGGCAGTGGCTCTCCAGGGTTTCTCCCAGCCCTACCTAAAGATGCCAGGGATTGAAACTGGGACCTTCTACAAGCAAAGCAGATGCTCTACCACTGAAGTGATGGGTCTTTGCCATAAGCGGTTACATCTCTTTTTGAGTCACATCTTATGTCTCACAGCACAGAATGCAACAAAACATAATCCATAAGCGACAAGGCAGATGTGGGTCCTACCCCCTCATGTCTTCTATACTGGTGCAAGACTTTAGGGAAGAGTCTTCTGTTTACATATATACACATCACCCTCAAGCACACAAGCAGAGAGCTCTTCAGAATTCTGAGACGCAGAGAATTACAGGACTGGAGAGAGGTCTCAAAACAAGGTCAAAAAAATCTTTTGCTATCAGAACTTAACCGCCACCCCCCAAGATTATACAGGTTATACAGCTTGTCCTTAAAACCTCTTAGTAGAATAAATTCTCCAACATCTGTAGGCCAGATGTACTTCAACTCCTCAGTCCAGTTGCAAGAGATTGGGATCCAAGTGCTTGTGTGGGAAGACAACATTTTCACACTCTTTAGGAATGGTATATCACTGCAAATTGCTAACAAAAACAGTGACAACAATTGCATTGCCCTAAGAACAGATCCTCCAGTCCTATATGGAGCTTGATATATGGTTCTTACGACTCACAGAGGACAATTAGGCAGAGAAAAGGGAGGGAGTGAAATGAGGGTTTAAGTGGGAAAATAATGCACCCCGCTTCATCAGAAGATGCAAATATCAGCAAATACTTCCCCTGGTTGTTCTTTGGCCACACATTCCTGGGGGAACAAAAGTTCTGCCCACCTGGGCCTGGCAGCAACTGCCTTCCGTGCTAGTCAGGACACTGAAGTCTGAGGGGAGCCGGAGAGACTATAAGAGGCCTGCCAGGCTGTGAAAGCAGCGAGCGCCGGATATGTTGGCAGTCAGCACAAAGTGCCTTCTGTTTGGGCTCATAGCCCTTGCCGGTCGATAGCTGGGAAGCGGCTCCAAGAGACAGAGCATCTTTATAGGCAGTTCATGCCCAAAGTAATGAGGAGGGCTGCACCCCCCACAGCCCCCTCCAGCCTCTTTTCCTTACCAACTCCCCCCACCCCTGACTTTTTTTCTTCCGCTCCGCCACCCACAGCTCTTGGAAGTTTGCTGTGATGCCTTAAAAACAATCTTGCTATTGGAACAACGTATGGGCCACTTCGTGTGCCAGGACGAGGATAATGACACTGAGGTGAATGTCTGGGACTGATGTGCAAAAGAACTTGGAGCTCAGCTCCCAAACTTTGCCACAGGCTCCGTGACCAGGAATAGGTTGCTCGGAGTCCTTCTGCACCGCAGGCAAGAATTCTCCCTGGCTCCCTTTCCGGGCTTTGTACAGCGTGTAGGAACTACAGCTGGCAAAAGGGGACTCAGGGACTCTAAGGCAGGGATAGAGAGTCTTTTCCACTTCCTCGTGGCCAGAGGGCTGCAAGGCCAGATGAAAGAGTGGGGGGAAACGTAAGCAAGAATGGGTGGGGCCATCACCTTTGACTCTCACCTTTGGAGAGGAGGCTATACTGCAGCCATACAAAAGCAAGAAGTTTCTATACACACACATACACCTACCCTCATATCACTCCTTCTTCTACCCAAGCAAGCAAAAGTTGCCATCACAGTTCAAGGGCATGTTCAAGACAGGCAAAAGAACTCAAAGCAGGTTGTGGAGCAGGACTGGTGAATGTCCTGGGGGCCGCACTTGACTTGTGGGTCCTCAAGTTCCCTGCTGCCACTCTATGGTCTTGCTGCCACTTGCAGTATACCTCCAAGTGTTGGGGTCTAACTCTACCTCTCAGCCAAAGAAAAAACTCAAATGAGGGCAATCATCTATAGCAATTTATGAATGAGATGCAGATTAATTCTCGACACTAAATGTGCCGAATTTCATGCATATCTGGATACCTGTCACATTTCCTCTTCTAAGAAAATAAATTCTATTCCAATAACAAACTATAAGTACTGTTTAAACTTCTGCAGCAACTGTTTATGAGTTCTAAATGCATATACTCTACGATAAAAGGTACACAGCAGCAAATAATTCTTTGTTTTCTCCCAAGGGCTCCATAACTGCTTTGTTTGTTTATGGTGGTTTTTTTTGGGGGGGGTGTTGTTTGTTTGTTCACCATGAAGCAGGCGTTTTCAGGCGTTTAGATGAAGAAATTGCTTTTCAGTAGCATCAAAATGTTTCGGAACAGCTTTATCTCTGGCAAGAGAGCAGAAGGCAGAGCAACAGATTTCCTGGTATCTGAAATAATAGAAGCTAGTGACTTCCAGTGGCCACCTTAGGAGAATGGAACTACAGCGAAGTATTCTAAAGCAGTATATAGCAGAGCCTAATGCTACACTGAGTGATAAGCACAGGGATGTACTTGGCCATTTCCAATGCCTCCTGCAACCACTTCCAGGATATGGGCTGGCCCAAGACATTTTGCTGCCTGAAGAACAAAGTGCCACCTGCATCCTCCTCCAATGTACAACTGAATCTTACCAACGCTGATGATGGAACAGCACCCTGTGCCACACCTGAGAGTGGTAGGGCAGCCGAGGAGGTGTGGTCTATGTGACACACAGAACTTTATCCTCCCAAACCTTCCTACCCCAATGTCCACTGTCTTTCTCTGCCAAATGGTAGGGCTGTGTCTGTCAAAGAAAACAATCCTAATCCAACATGAGGCACTGTGGCAAATTCTTGCCTTCATCCCAGCAAGCCACCATTAGCATTTCTTCCATTGCCAATTAAAAAAACATCCAGCAAACATCCAGGAACCTATTGGCAACCTCTCACATCCTGCTATAGTCAACTTTAAAAAAACCCAGTCATTTCCAAAGTAAACATAAAGGAAGCTATTAGCAATCTCTCACATCCTATTACTATTCCCCTAGGTTTCCTGATGCACAAGATGGGCCTGGAAGCAGCATCATTCAAAGATCATAGAATCATAGAATCATAGAATCATAGAGTTGGAAGAGACCACAAGGGCCATCGAGTCCAACCCCCTGCCAAGCAGGAAACACCATCAGAGCACTCCTGACATATGGTTGTCAAGCCTCTGCTTAAAGACCTCCAAAGAAGGAGACTCCACCACACTCCTTGGCAGCAAATTCCACTGTCGAACAGCTCTTACTGTCAGGAAGTTCTAGAGAGAGATGTGCTCTCTCTAGTCAGCCCACCTTCCATCTTCAGCTATGCAAACCTCTAAATAAAGAGAAAAGGTAATGTTGTCCTTTGAAACCTAGAAAGACAGCTAGAAGAATGTAAGTGAAATTCCGACCATTCTAATCTCAATGTTGCTCCAGTGATTTGCAAGGGACTACAAATGACTACCATGTGACTTCTGTGCTCTGTTAAACAAGTCATCTGAGTCATCTTATTTATCTAGCATTAAGCTGCATCATATAAATTTATAATCCCAACTTCCGGGCTGCCAGCTATCTGCCATGTTACCGTTCCACTGGAATATTTCTTCTGTGCCACCAACCTTTTCCTCCTTCAGGGATGAGGATGCCTGAACAAGCAGCTGGACCACTTGCATCAGGGACAGAGCTTTGGGGCAAGAAAGACACCCACATGGTGCTACAGTCTTGTGAAGATGTACCTATAGCTCAGGACTACACTTCATGCATCTGAGAAAGTGGACTGTAGCCACATTGTTATGCCATAATAAATTTGTTTTTAAGGTGCCTTTTGTGTTTTTAAGGTGCCAAAGTATCATCTGTAGTTTAAGCTACCCACAAACTGGAAGAAACAAGACAGTACTAGTTTGTCATTGAGGAATTTTAATGTGAGAAACAACCATTGTAATTCTTTCCTGAATTTACAGTATGCTGGATTCTTGATGGCTCAAAGGATTTATTTTTTTTGAATGACAGTGACTTGTAATTTCGAAAACTGCAAGTGATAGCAAGTCTACCACCCACAGTGATAAGAAGTTCTTGTTTGCTGTGCCGCTAGGAAATTGCATGTAATTTTGAGGTAATTGTTTTTTTTCACTTATGTCATCCTATGTGGTCTTTAATTATAAAAGCCCATCTATTATAATTTGGATTTCCATAAATGGTCAGATGTGATGATCCAGGGAAATGTCAGGAGTAAATGTCACCACAAAAGTAATTGTGCAATGATAAGGCAGGCATGAAACACATTAAAAACACCTCAGACTGGCATGGACTTGCAGAAGAGTACAGAGTCCATGTCCTTTCTTTCTATGGCACACAAATACTCTGATGAAAATTCCCAGCAGGTTGCGCTCCGGAGTTCTCATGTGGCAAGATGGAACTTCAAAACCTTGTTTTTGTTTGCTTATCTCCTCTTAAAAGAGGGGTGGGGCAGGGGTGAGAGAAAGAGAGAGAGAGATTAGATTCCTCCTGAGACACAGAACTGGATCTCACTGCAACATACATTCTGAGGCTTTACTACATAAGATCAAGAGTTCATGCCTCACCTTCTGTCCCATTAGCAGATGAATAATGAAGGGTGAACCATGAGGTTTTTGTTCCACCCTACTGGGAATTCAGTACATGATAAACCAATAGTGCCAAAAGACTTCCCATATCTGATAAGTTAAAACATAGAAAGAGTTCTGCTGAATCAAGCCCGTATAGTCCAGCATCCTGTTCTCACAGCGGCCAATCGGCTACCTATGGGAAGCCTGCAAGCAGGAACTGTACTCTTCCTCACTTGTTATTCAGGAACGCACTGCCTCTGATAATGGAGAAGGAACATAGCAGGTAAGTCACATTAAGGGTTACATAGAATGCTCATTAAAACCAGTGGGGAGGACGGCCGTTTCCATGGGACAGCAGTGATCACACACACACACCCCTCTGTAAAAGATGGCATCATCAAGTATTATTCAAACTACATAATATGTTTCCTCCTAGAAACTGAAAATCCTTCCTCTTGGTCTGTGGCTCAGAAGTCTTACCATTGTGTGATGCGATAAGCATTTCCCCCCTTATGCAGCTCAGGTACTTGAGAAAATCTGTTTCTGAATGGCAAGTGCCATGGCTGTGACTGATTTCCATCGCTCTTTATTTAATTTAATGCACAGAAAAGGTTTCTGCCTCCATCCTGACTCTGTGTGAAATCCACAGATCGAGCAGGCCTCTGCTGACAGCTGGCAGCGTCTGACAGGAACAGCATTTTGTTCCATAGCTGGCGTGCTTCCCAGAATGCAATTCAGCTGGGCACCTGATTGGCAATATTAATGTGGAAATGAGGCGGTCGCACAAGATGCTAATGATTTTTAAACACTTATTTGAAAAGTATTTTAATGAGTTGACAGCGGGAAATAGGGAGAGTTAAACAAAATCGATAGAATGGAAAGGCAGACCCTCCCTGAAACTGTTTGCTTTGCTTTGAGATAAGGTCTTGCAGAACAGCAAATAGAAGTAACCTTGTGTACAAAGGGGTATGTGTATGCCTCGTTACAGTATCTGAGAGTTTGCATGGCATGTAAGCAATTATTTTACATGGAAATGTACTGTGCATTTCTCTGCTGTGTGGCTGTACTTTGAGTCTATATTTGCTTGTAAAGGGAGACTTCTGGAGGCATCTGGGCAAGTGGATGTATTATTCTTGGGTGTACACGAGCAATAATGTGCATCGTGTCTGCTAGATAAATGCTGGCCTGAACAGACTGCATGTGCTCAGGAGCACATCACTGTGTGCTGGAGCATGTCTGATTTCCAACAGCTCACTACTGGCCTGTGATGTTGGTGCTTGTGTACTGAGGGTGATGCTTGCATGCACACCATTATATATTGCCCCCTGGTGTGGTGGACTGCTTTCATCTGCCCAGAACTCACCACGTAATACTAACCATAGTGTGGGAAATCCTCCTGGAGATCCTCCCCAACACACTCAGGATCATGTTAAAAATGACAGACAGCAACCACATTAAACATTTACAAGAAACAGTCAAAATCATGGACTAAAACATAGAAGATGATTCTCACCAAACGAAAGTTATCCAGGCAGTTACATAGTTTATGCCAATTAATAAGAGCTTTGCTGAGAATAAAAGGTTTAATATTAAATAATTTTTGTGCATGCACCTACTAAAGCAGCAGGCAGTGGGCCAGTCTGCTAAACACTGGCCATGCATACTCAGGACCCTATTTAATATTCCAAGCAAGGGAAGAACTCCTGGGGGAAATATTGCTCAATTCATAATACTGCTGATCATTACTAGCTGAACAAAGCCATACGTCAAGCCAGGTAATTTTTAATTTTGCAGCCAAATTTATTATTATGGTAGAGTGCTCTATTGTTTTTGGGCTTCGGCCCAAAGACACAACAAATCAAATTCCCTTATGCTGATAGCTGTCACAAGAAGTAGCTTCAAGTGTTGCAAGTCAGGGGCAAATCAAGACATGATGGGAGCAGCCATGTTTGTTGTTCACATGCCTGGCCCCCATTTAAAATGGGGAGTGGATGGGTGTTAGGATCCACTTTTTCTGAAATGGGTGAAATGAACCCCTAGCATGTACACTTTCCATCACTGCAGGCACATTTCTCCCCAGCCACATTCTGATACAAAACTAATTCCGCATGGACAGGGCTGAATTCTTAGAATGTGGGGGAGGTAAGATGGGGAAAGGCTCAGTTCCCCTCACCCACCCACATTTTTGGCTGTAAAAAGCAGCCTACCTCACACCCCATTTGTAGATGTGAATGTGCCCGACAAATGAATAAACAAGCATAGCCACCCCCTGTCACATTTAGTTTGGCCTAAAGGGTACACAAAAATGTTTTTTAGTCCCAGCACAACTGATTTGTTCTGGGGGTCATTTGCTCCAGCAGCACAGGATGTTCCTGGGGAGATTCTGGCCACCATCATTCTCACAGGGCCTGCTGCCACTGATGCCTGGCTTTGGTAAACATAACCCATCCCTGTCCTCTTAATCTCCCAAGGCAAAGTAAGTTTGGATTCTTTGACTAGGGGAGGAGAGACCAAAGAGCAGGGGGCTGGTACGTTCCGGCCCTCCTGCCCTTTTTACAGAGGTAGTAGGGGATTCTGATGGGACTTGGGTGGCGCTGTGGGTTAAACCACAGAGCCTAGGACTTGCCGATCAGAAGGTCGGCAGTTCAAATCCCTGCGATGGGCTGAGCTCCCGTTGCTCAGTCCCTGCTCCTGCCAACCTAGCAGTTCGAAAGCACGTCAAAGTGCAAGTAGATAAATAGATACCGCTCCGGCGGGAAGGTAAACGGCGTTTCCGTGCACTGCTCTGGTTCGCCAGAAGCGGCTTAGTCATGCTGGCCACATGACCCGGAAGCTGTACGCCGGCTCCCTTGGCCAATAAAGTGAGTTGAGCGCCGCAACCCCAGAGTCGGCCATGACTAGACCTAATGGTCAGGGGTCCCTTTACCTTTACTAGGGGATTCTGAGTTGGTGACAACAGCTGGAGTTAAATGGCGTCAGTTCTGCCGTGATTCTAATGGGATGTTAGACATAAATGAGGAAACTGCCATCAGAGACAAGTTATATTAGGATCCAAGAATTTGTTATAGTGCAACTGAAAAGTGAAACTTGGGTTTTCAAAATAAGCTTTGGTCAACTGCTATCAAAATTTTGGGAGTGGGGGCCATAGCTGTCAAGTGTCCCTTATTTGAAGAGACAGTCCCTTATTCCAGCGCCATGTCCCGCGGCTGTCCCTTATTGATGGATGTCCCTTAAATGATGTCCCTTAAATTTCAAAGGAAGCAGCTCCTCTCCCTCCCTCCCTGACGGCCAGGGCTCCAACTGTGTTGCTTGGCTGTGTTGCTCACCCAATAAGAAGTCTAAGAACGACTGGGGGGTGGAGCTTGCATGCCTTGTGTGTGGCTAGTTAATGCAAGCTGAGGGGGGTTTTGAATGCTGGACGCCATTTTGTTGCACGTGCTGCTGCAAACCTTGCAGTGCAAAGCCAGGCCGGGGAGCCATCTTAAGTTGAGGCTGCATAGGCCTTGTGGTGCATGTGATTCAGATTCTAGTCAGTTGAACCTCTGGTTACAAAGTTGGTTGGACAGTGTTCTCGAAGCTACCAGCATGAGTTTGACCAGACTGCAGGAGGACAGGAAGACTGGAGTGCCTGGAACAGGTGAGGCTGCAGGTCCCTTATTTTGGCTGCTGGTCCCTTATTTTCAAGGCTGCTGGTCCCTTATTTTCAAATCTGTAAGTTGACAGCTATGGTGGGGGCACAGTGAGGGAGAGGGTGAGAAAGCCTTATTGTGCAAGCACAGGGCTTCCGCTGAGGGAATTAATTCCATGAATCCCACCCAAAATGTTTACCTCTCCTAAGGATACCTTGGCTCAGGCCTGGGTACCCTGCAATGCCTCTTAGCCTTCGAAGAGACACATTGAAGCATGAAGGGACAGGCAGGGGCTGAAATCAGGGGAACCACAGCAATAGGCTCATGCAGGCCCTTATGAACCATCCCATGGCTGTCTGGCGCTTACCTATAGTATAAATCAATGAGATGCAGATTTCATCAATGGCATTGAACTATGTAGGGATAATTTTGCAAATGAAAGGCAAGTTCATCTCTTGCCCCTCTTCCTTTAAAAAAAAAGTAAGGAAAACAACAACCATTTATTTCTACCCCGCCCATCTGGCTGGGTTTCCCCAGCCACTCTGGGCGGCTTCCAACAAAATATAAAAAATACAATAAAACATCAAACATTAAAACAAGTCTCCAACAAAATAGAGAGATTAGGAGCCTCCAAGAGTATGCTCCAGATAACTGGCTCTCGGACTTTGCATATGAAGGAAGAACCCCTTTACTTTTGACACTAGACAGTGCTCAGTAATTTTTTTAACTAATAATTATGAGTCAACAAGATTCTTGATGACAGATTTGTCTGTCTTGGCTGGAGGCAGTCATAATAGATGTGTTTATTGATTTTATTATAATCTTGTAATCTGTATACTGCCTTGAAATACTTTTACGAAAGTGTGAAATACATACATACATACACACACACATATGTCCATACATACCCCCCTTCCTTCTATTTTCCTTTTACTACTTATATTTTAAGAAAGCTGTCTGCAGCTTGAAATGTTTTGGAATTCCTTTTGTTGTCAATAGAGTTACCTTGCTGTGAGCCACAGTTCTACTGTTAGACCACCTCCAATAACAGCAGATGCTGGGGAAAGTCTCTCTCAGCCTCTTAGAACTACAGTAGTGGTTCTCACCTGGCACTCTCAAAGCACCTTTGCAGAATTTTACTCTGCATGGCTTCTCTCTCTCTCTCTCTCTCTCTCTCTCTCTCTCTCTCTCCAATACAGACCCACATTATTATCCTTATTTAGAAATGGAGTATCTGAATCACTCGGATTAGGAGGCAGGTCCCAGGACACACACAGAGCTGGAGCCACAAATAGAACCCAGGCGTCCTGACTGCCTCTCACCACCACCACCCCCGCACCCCACCACCGCTGATCTGTGGAACACACAGTTTGTTGTGGTGTGTAGCAAGGAGATAATCCCCAGTAGCCTGCTGCTTAAACTCTTATTAACCCAAGTGCTTGGGTCTCTTGCTGTTTGTTCTCACTGCACTGCTGTTGCCAGAGGTCCCTTATTTTAAAGGGTCGTTTGTTATTTCCAGTGGAACATTCCTTTATTCCTGTTTTTCCAAATCCACACAACAGACCCGAGCTCCATAGTTCTTTGAGAGCATTTAATCCGGCAGCCCTAGCCAGCAGAGAGGCCTTCGCTCTGCTCCCCCTTTCCCTTGTCCTGTCCTTCCTCAGGAGACGAGAGCAGATGCTGGTGGACAGAGAGAATCTGAATTAGCTATACTGCATGTTCCCAATCAGATAAATCCCACAGGATTTTAACTGTAATTGAGCTGAATGAAACCCTTGCTTTATTCTACTGGGTATGGATAGGAGCTCTCTCTTCTCTTCCTACCCCCCCCCCCCCCGTTTCTGTTCCTGTAAATATTTCCATCTCCAGAAAGTTTTAAATCAGGCAGCAACCACAGAGGCAAGGAAGACTCTGGGGCTGTTGCATCTGCATGTGAAGTACAGTGAGGTATAAGGGGGAGAAGGGCCACAAAACAGTGAATGTGGCATGGTGGTATGGAGCCAGCAACCCTGTAAAATAAGGCACATTTGGCACATTCAAGGGAGCTTAGGTCCCTGAACCTTCCAGGGCCCTTCAGTTTTCTTACTTTTTCTTTGTTAAATAACAAACAACCCCTGAGGGGTTTTTTCCCTCATTTTTTCTCCTAAATGTCCAATGGTTACCAGTACATGCACAATTAGCAGCTTAAATACAATTCCAAAGAGATGGTAACACACAATTATTGGTTTCCATTTGGGGTGTGTGTGTGTGAATTGTGTCTTAAGCATTTAACACTAGAGAAAAAGGTGGTGCTGGTAAGACCCCTTTAGAGCACATGAATGCTCCATCTCTCTCCTCAAAGGGTATGTAAAACAGGGACAGACATGATCAGTACAGATAATATGATATCAATTTTACAGTATGTGCCCAAAGCAGAGTTACGAATTCACCTGCTCAAACAGAGATGATTTTAGCGTTATTTTCGATTCCACTCAATGGGACTTAAATTTGAATAGCCATGTGTAATACTGCACTGTTAAATCTTGTTGTTCAGGCCAAACTAGACTTTTGCCACATAGTTTGCTGATGCACAGCTTTTCTTTAACCAACAGGGGCCTGGGAGTGGGGGTGAGATGGATTGGGTCAGTTGTGTGCCAGAAGAAGGCTTAAAGACTAAAAAGGTTATTATGGCAGAAGCTTTTGTGGGCTAGTATCCAAGTCTCATATTCATTAAGTGTTATCCTAAGTTGTCAACTGCACATTTATTATATATACACACAAATATACACAGGGTGTGTGTGGGTGTGGGTGCGCACGTGCTTTGGGGAGGCAGGAATTGTAAGCAGTGAAGTCAGAGGGAAATGGAATGGAAAAAGTGACAATTAACAGTGACTATTTACAAAGCAGTGCTGGTGATAACAAACATCCTGTCATTGGTAAGTGATTTAACACGTTTAGTGTCATTAAAAACTTACTATCAATATTCTAGGCTAACCTCCTGATAAATTGCAATGCAGTAGTTTCCTTTGTCTGAGAAAGGCCTCTCTTAAGTTCAGTAGTGGAGCGCCTCTATCTAGAGTCATCTCCCTCCATTACACACAGATGGATATCACACTTTGAATGGAGATAAAGGACTTAACACACAAAAGGTTATGGCAGACATTCACTGATCATCTGGATGGAGCTGAGATTATACACCACAAAAGAAAGAGCTAAAGTTACTAGGATGTTCCTAATGCCTCCAATTGCCTAAATCTGGCTTTGAATGCTAGTAATTATAGGGAAAGAGTTCCTGGAGCTCAGTCTTGGTTTGAAAATAGAAAGCAAAGTGAAGCCCACCTTAAATGCAGGAATCGCAGCTAAGTAGGCATTACAGAAGGAAAGACTAGACCACCCTTTGGGTCCCTTCTAACTCTACAATCCTATAATAATGGGAGCTGCTCCCCTTTGCTATGTGGTGTTGTCTGATGCTAAAGCAACCGAGAAAACACACACACATTACACCCCATGATCCTAAGCAGCATAAGAAATGAAGGAGATTCTGTATTCGCTATACAGTGGTACCTCTGGATGCGAACGGGATCCGTTCCGGAGCCCTGTTCGCATCCAGAAGCGAATGCAACCTGCATCTGTGCATCTGCGCGGGTCGCGATTCACCGCTTCTGCGCATGCGTGTGACGCCATTTTGACCGTTACTTCCGGGTCACCACAACGTGCAACCCAAAAATACTTATCCTGAAGCTACTTCAACCAGAGGTATGACTGTAGTCTGCAAGTGGGCCAATATTTTGTCAATTTCCTTGAAGACCCTGAATCAGCATTGCAATTCAGCCAAAATGGGCTGGATGATAAGCAAATTTGGAAGCATAACCTCCAAAATGGTTCAGTGGGTGTTTTGGAAGCACCACTGTTAAGCAAGCATCACTCACCTATCCAAATTCTTCCTATACACAGCAACCTCAACTGTAGACTGCCCAAATTATGTCATGTTAATTCGGTCCCACAATTTTCTCTAGCAAAATCCTGACAGCATATGAGGAATAGCTCAGCAGTACTGCAAGCAGTAAATATGAAAATAGAACCATCTTGTAGTTCATTTTAATTTTATTAAGAGAATAAGAGTAGTGTAAAAGATGCAATTAATTCTCAACCAATGTCAGTCCTGCAAATGTCAACCTATCTACTAATCCGGCGGCTGCTGTAGCACCATTGATCTTATCTTGCCATGGCTACGGGAACAAATTTGCAAGGCACATTAGGACTGAGCTGTTAGCCTCCTATATTTTCTAAAAATTATTTTGATCCAGAAATATCTCAGCATCTCTCTCTCTCTCTCTTTCATGCATACACAGACAGTCATTAAGGAAAACTGCTACAAGGCTGTACTTTACTAACAAACAGCTGCATAATTACTCAGGAATTCAGAAACCCCACAACCCACTACCAAAATTTAGTAGAACAAAAGACTTTGACCATAAAACCACCCTAGGATTTTTGGATGAAGGGTGGTATAAAAATAATAATAATAATTGCAAAACTTTCACTACTGCCAGGGTCTTGGTTTCTGACCTGATGTCAACAGATCTACGCAGACAGTGCAAACCTCTGTTGTGCTTGTTTCTCCATCTGTAAGCTATGACTAACACTACAGGCCAACCATCCCTGCAATTAGAGTAGAGCAGGGTTATTTAAATCTCTCATTTGTACTAAAATACCAGCTGCTGTGTTCCAGTTGTTTGGTGCCATATTATTTACCAAGTGAAGCAGGTTTCCTTGCATGAATTTGCCATGGCTTCACCATTCTGGATACAAAAGTATAAGAAAGAGGTGGGGTACCTGTGACTCTGCAGGTGTTCTTGGACTCCCACGCATCACAGTCCCAGCCAGCATGGCCAAATATCAGGGGAGATGGCAGCTGGAGTCCAACAACATATGAACAGCCACAGGTTCCCCACCCCAGAGATATCGAAGCTGGAGATCACATGTTGACATCATTTAGGGAAGCTAATGGCATGCTAAGACCCCCACTTCACACCTGATGTTGCTGTGAAACTCTGGTGAACACAGTTGCCTAATCTATTTCCATGGGTGGGCCTTCTCACCTGGAAAAAAAGCAAAACCTTATTTTGGTTGCAGGGAAACCATCGTAAAAATCTATACTGAATTGTCCTTGTGATGGTGAACTGAACCCGTGCCATAGGCAGAACATATCCTATCTGGGGAGAGGGTTAGAAAGAACATACATGAGGGAGACAAACACAGGAAAGGAAGAGAAAAAGGTGAGAAGATGGGGAGAATGAGTATGCATCTGGAACAGGTTTTGGTGGGTGGGAGAAGTGGAGAGCCATAGCTGGGGCAGTTGCCACACTTTGGGGGCCCTCATGCCTGGCACTGGTGGCCATAGCTGGCACCTTTTTTGACCCAGCCAGCAAGGCTTTCCACCTCCGTCCTTCCAGGGGAAAGGCAAAGGTAGGAGGTGGTGGAAGAGAACCTCACTGGCAGTGCCGCCACTAGAGTAGCTGAAAAAGAAAAAGCAAGTAAGTCAGGGAGGGAAGAGAGGCACAGCAACTCATGTGATGGGAGGAGTGGAAGAGGGGCTGCCACTACAACCATCACTATGTAGAGAGGAGGCAGTAGAAACGGGGGGGGGGGAGCAAGACAACGGGGGGGGCGGCACAGTGATTTGTCCTAGGCTCCACAAATCCCTAGGGAAAACATATGAGAGGGGAAGGGTGGGGAGAAAGACTGTCCTATGGTCAGCTGATTTGGTAGGTAGATGGCAGGACTTATGCATTGCTGTTGACTAGCCAAAAGATTGTAAGGGACGCGGGTAGTGCTGTGGTCTTGCCGATCAGGTCGGCAGTTCGGATCCCTGCGATGGAGTGAGCTCCCATTGCTCAGTCCCTGCTCCTGCCAACTTAGCAGTTCGAAAGCACATCAAAGTGCAAGTAGATAAATAGGTATCACTCCGGCAGGAAGGTAAATGGTGTTTCTGTGTGCTGCTCTGGTTCGCCAGAAGTCATGCTGGCCACATGACCCAGAAGCTGTCTGCGGACAAACGCCGGCTCCCTCGGCCACTAAAGTGAGATGAGCGCCGCAACCCCAGAGTCATCTGCGACTGGACTTAACGGTCAGGGGTCCCTTTACCTTTTTACCTTTCGCCAAAAGATTGTATGCAGGCCTTGCACACTTGTTCTGTAATAGATTGTACATAGGCATTTATAGCACATTGGAATAATGAATGACAATAACACTGTTGTCCCTTTTCATTTGTTCCTTAGAAATTAGAAAAAGGGGGAATCTTCTGACTGACAGTTCATGGAATACCTGTGAATAACTCTGCCAAAGAGACCTAGGATGCAAGCTACTGAGAAGATCTTTTGCATAAGCACCATTGAACCAAAATGAATGGGAATTACATAGCTCCCTCTTCCTGCAAAATCACATAGCAGTGATTTTGCAGGAAGAGGACTTCGGCTATACAAACAATAGATAAGTCAAAAAATTGCAAAGAAACTCAAAAGGGGGAAGAATTGTCAGTGTGTATAAAAACCCCCCCAATCCCACCCTTGCAGTATTTCCAATAAGGGTATTTTGCAAAATGAATTTGGTTGCCTAAAAGAATATGCTGTGGCCTACAAAGCTAGGTTTTCATCCAGCAATGCTCATTCCAGGGTTCCCCAGCAGCTCAAGTTACAAGGAAAGGTCCCAGATAAAAGCCTCCTGGCTCACCCTTCACTCTCCTGGAGTTCTGGCAAAGAAACAGGGACTCAAAGCCCAAGCCTGCAGGCAGGCAGGAAGAGCTGGTGTCTTCCCCTTCGGCTACACAAAAGGAAATAGGAACCTGCTCTTCCCTCTCGCCCAGTGTCTCCTGAATGCTCACTAAGAAAGAGAGAGCCTGCTGACAGGCAACCTAACAAAACAAACAAACCCCAGTGGCTGAGTGCCTGAGTATAATGAAGAAAGCATCACACTCTTTCATGTGAGATGCTGGAGGCAGGGTGAGTGGAGAGGAAGGGAAAGGCAGCTATAACCTATTTTACCTTTCAGTGACTGATTTGCTGGTGATGAAAACCAAAGGTGGGCTCTGTACAACGGTGCAATTTAAAACATTTCATTGCTTTGGAAAGTCTGAGTGTCTAGAAATAAAAACAGGAGCTCAGGGAAGCGACGAGAGCCTTAAGTCTCTAGTCACCAAGGGCCCTATTCTTCCAGCTGCATTGTTCCCAGTGCAAAGGCACTGTGCTCTGCATGGGAATATCTTTGAATGTTAGTCTAGTATTTTATTTTTTTGCAGCTGCTCTACAAGGAAGGCCAGTCCTGTGTTGCAGGTGGCAAGGGAGCTGGGCTAAGGCAGAGAGAAAAGCTTGCTCCAGGCCACCAAATGATTTCACAGCTAAGGCAAAATTTGGCTCACACTATGGGAAGGACATAGCTCAGTGTTAGGGCATGTGCTTTCCATGCAGAAGAGCCCCAGCTCAATCCCCAGCATATCCAGGTAGGGCTGGGAACACACTCTGCCTCAAACCCTAGAGAGCTTCTGCCAGACTGACTCATTAAAAGGGAGCCACTAGCAAAAGTCTTGTCCATATCAAACTTAAGACGGGGATCATCTGGCCCAGGACATAAAGAACACTCCCTGGTCACTTGCCACTGAAATGAATACTACTTGAAGTGGGTGGAGGGACACAACTGGCCATCCCTTTCTCATGGAGCAGCAAATCTCATGGGACAAATCTCTGCCAGCTGTACAGCTCGAAAGGAGAATTAACCAGCAGTAGTCTAGCTTCAGCAACATGTGCTGCCTGTGTGCTTATAATCAGGTACGCCAGTTGCCATCTAGGTGGCACAGAGAATGGAGGCAGTGGCTTGCACCTCTGCCTCAGCCCCTCCACATCAACTGGAATAGGATTTGTGTACTTCAATGTGGACCTCTGGTTGCATGACCGCAAGCATTTATTGATAATGCAGAGAGAGCCCACCCTGCCATTATCTAACTGCATAATTAAAACATTGGTTTTTCTCCCACCTCTTATTAACTGCCATCAATTTCTCTGCCTGGTATACCTTGAGTATGTCACTAAATTTCCCTATAACTGGATATTAACACCTGCCACATTTGATGCACAACAGACTGGGTTGTGGAGCTAAACAACATCATAAACATGTCCACAAAGACCTTTAAGGAGAAAATACATGCTCCCTGTCTCTAAAGTGCTGTTTCTTAACCATATTAGATAAGTCGTCCCTGTTGTCACCAATTCATACTTCAGGCCTGGTTGGTGGATTCATCCGACTGTATTCCTCCCTTCCAGCCCAGTGGGCAAGGAAGAACCTGCCCTATACAACAAATCTGCCTTCTATCTCCTCAAAGAATTTCATGTGTCTGCTCTTCCCAAGAGGCCAGCTATTGAGCTGCTAAAGCCTCTATTACTGTATTTAACAACTGGCTTGTTAGAGAATTAAGCATGCCTGGATTGGCCTGATAGTGATTAACAGGCAGACACGTCTTCTTGCCCAAGTGTGACTGGGTAAGGTAGAAAATGCAGGAAGAAAGCTCTGCAGTGGCTCAGGGTCTTGGGCAAAGGTTAGAGAAGCCATGTTGACTGTGGGTGGGTGTGGGGGCTAATTGGGGGACACCAGGGGAGGGACGCATAGGAGCTGGTTGGCAAATGGGGCACAGGCTGGTATGGAGGCCATGTGTATCTGGGAGGGAAATTTGGGTGGGTGTGAAAATAGGGGCATAAGGAAATTGGTGAGTGTGCTACAGTGGGCCACAGAGGAGAAGACATGTGAGAGACTGTAATGGGCAAGAAAAGGTATTTTACCCTCCTTAGTAGAGCCCCAGTAAACACTAAGTAAGGCACAGGAGTGGAATTCACATATGCACAGTGATATCATGGCTTCTGATCAAACAGCTCCCATTTGATACAAGCCCTACCTGCTATGGGGCTGAACCAAGGGGGGGGGGGCTCCCACAAACTAAGGTTGGGAGAAACCTCAGAGTCAAAAGGGGGGATGCTCTTAAAAACCCCTCCCCATCAACCCTCCCATGGGATGGACTCCAGGAGGGAGAGGCAGGCAGGCAGATGAAGACCACCTAAGTCCTGGTCTAGATGCACTTTCCCCTCCCCTCCAAGGAACAACCCACCATCAGCTGTCCTGTAGGTAGGATCTTGATGTGTTTTTATGTTTATCTTTGCCTACCTTCCAATGCATTTTCAAAATATGGAATTTAATTGAAAGCTGTCTTAAGACGGATTTATACGCTGAAAGGAAGGCTAAGATAAATGAAATACCTTTTAACAATATTTCTGCTGGGGAAGTTTATTCTTGAAGCCACGGATACTACCAGGACAACAGAAAACTTGGGCCTCGCCTGAAACCTGCAAGGAAAGTTGCCACATTTTTTCTTTCTTTCAAGGCCGCTGTACAATTGCCACTCCAGCCACTCCAATTCACTTTCTCTCCCAGGCAAGGCCTACAGTAACTGCTGAATGTCTGTCTGTCTGTAATGCAGCTGTGAAAAGCACAGGAACCCTGTCATAAAAGCGGTGGACCCCTAACTACCAGCAAGGTGGACAGGCTGAAACTGAGAACTTACATCTATGTAGCCTCTTTAAATTCCCCCAGGGCAGCAGGAGAAAGACGGCTGCAGCCTTCCCCATCCATTTCTTCCCTGGCCCTGTCATCTGCCTGCTGTGCAGTATTCCTGCAGCCCTGTACATTTCAGCAAGCAGAGAGAAGAACTGGCAAGAGAGTTGAGGTGAAGGTGGGAAGGAAGACAGCAGCCTCTCTTCCTGGGACACTGGGAAATGTAAGCTGCATGTGCATTCTCTGGGTTATAGTCTGGCACAGTGCTTTATAGAGTTTGTGGTTCAGCAGGGATTTGAACCAGAACATCCCACGTCCAGAGCCAGTGTACCGTATTTGTTTTTAGCCTGGACCTTTATCCTGTGTACAAAGCGTCTCAGAAATAACTTTTGCTACAAGGAAATAAAAGTTTTTCTTGTGTCAGCCCCAACTCCAGGTATTTGGCATCAATACGCAGATCAACAGGGAACTATTTAGATAATCAGCCCTAGAAACCTCATACCTTCTCAAAAGGGTCATATTTGTGGAATTTGGAATCCATTAGAAAATATAGCTAGAATAGCACAAAAGTTCCATCTGGAGGAAGAGGAGATGCTGCTGTTTCAAGATCTTCTCCTGCACTGGAAGCGGAGTTCCCTTAAGGATACATACAAAACTAGGTCACAGATGATTTCCCTGAATTTCTAACCTTCCCACTACAAAACTTTACTCCTCCCATCAACTTTTTGGTACTGGAACCTAATGGCTCCTTGACTTTGGACTGTTCTTGTAGTTTTATCTAGTACCACGCTGGGCAAGTGGAAGTAGCTATATATTTGAGACTGCCTAATTCTTTTCCATTCCTACGTTGGACCCCTCTGTGCATCTCAATGTCAATTAAATTATTTTTCCCCTCCCAAGGCCCAAAACTCTACTGTGTCTGGTCATTGGGCTATGTATCAAATTTCTTTACGAATGAAAGCCCCTCAGGGCATTTAAAACCAACCAAACCTGGCATCTAGAATGGAGGCATCACTCCTCAGAGCTGTATAACTCCCTTCTCACATGGTGTGTGGCCATGTGGCTGCCTTCCTCAAGTCATCAGGGCACATCCTACCGATTAGTTCTCCACTGCCAAGGCCTCTGCAATTACGCTGTCCCTTTGTCCTTCCTTCCAGCTGTATGCTTGCTGTACCCTGCACTTAGTCTATCATTGTCTTAAGGTCGAATCATGGCTGGTGAGGTAGATGGAAAGAGTAGAGAAACATTTCACTGACGGAAATTTCAGGAGTGATGTTTTCTACCTTAGGGAAAACGGGTGAGATACTGGTGGGGCAGAGATATGTGTGCTTGTGTGAGAGATCCTTCTGGACCCAATATCTGTCCATACTAGGGATGTCAGAGAATTGCTGTGAAAGGGAAGCAGAATTTGCTGTAGTTTGCATGTTCACCTGTGGCCAGGAACAGAAATCAGGTAAGCAAATACATCATTTTTAAGTTTGCAAATGATACATAATTTGCAAGCGCAATTAATGACTTAAGTTATGTAAATAGAATCATAGAATCGTAGAGTTGGAAGGGACCATAAGGGTCATCCTCTGGTCCAACCCCCTGCAAAATCTCCTAAATATTTTGTCCAACATGGGACTCAAACCCATGACCCTAAGATTAAGAGTCTCATGTTGTATGCTTGCTGTATAGCTTACATTAAATAGCAGACAAATAATATAGTATTTTGCAGAAACTGAATGGAAGCAGCACTGATTGAGACTGATACAGGGTGGAACAGAAATGGCTGTCTTCCAACATCCCTAGTCCACAATGACTTGCTCCTATGCCTCTACAGTGCCTGTCCCAGTGCATTCCCACTATCTCTCACTGCCCTTGAAACGCTCTCCCTGATCAGGCATAGCTCAATCCTTTGATTCCATACTCAGTACTGAATACTAGGGGACTTGTTCCCAAGAGTGTGCATGATTGCAGCCTTCGTCTGACAACATTTAAGCTGCACTTGGGACTTTGTCATATATGCCTTTTCTCTTTTCTGTTTATGCCAGACATACACTTGACCCTAAAGGCTGGTTCTCACACCATGATTTCATATACACAGGGACTGGGTTCCTGACAGGCTGGGGGGGGGGGGAACAAACATGTATGGCCAGTCTCACAAAACTCTTCACACAGAAGCATGAAATTGTAAAAGTGGCCCTCAATGCAAGGAGGTATCTGCACCAAAGTCTAACTGTGGGAAAGATTCCCATACCCCTACTGGTGGTAGGTGGAAAACAGGACTTGCATGGTTGCGTATTGCATCACAGCCACACCTTACAGTTAAAGTACACTTATTAGCATTTTAACAGTCATGGCTTCCCCCAAAGAATCAGGGGAACTGTAGTGTATCCCTCTCAGACCTACAATTCCCAGAATCATCAACAAACGACAGTTCCTAGGAATCTTTGGGGGAAGCCATATGCTTTAAAGGAATGGCACGGATGACTTGTGGGTCTAATTTCTAAAAAGCAAGGTACAGGGTAGGGTTGGCTCTAGCCTGCCTACAGCTACATTCCTATGCCTTCTCACTATGTAGTAAGCTTCAATGAAAACGGCTATAGTTTTCTTCTAAAAAGTTAGGATTTGGCTGAATATACCACACATTCGGGGCCTGGGTGCCCTTCTCCCTAGCCCTGAGCAAGTGAGGGCTGACTGGGCTTACAAGAGAAAATAACTCTTTGTGCGCTCAAGGACACTCTCTTCAGTTGTTGTGCTACAGGACTGGGTCCTAGAACTGAAAAACAGATGGGCTAATCTAGAATAAGTCATGCAATGTCCCCTAGGTAGGTATTGGCAGTAAGGCACAGACAATCAGGAAGACAGAAGGAAGAGTTACTGCCAGCCGCAGCGATGGCAGACTCAAAATTGCTGTCTAGTGACTTGATAAATAAATTACTAGAGGGAGGTGGTCAGTCCCCAGACCATCAAGGACTCATAGTTCTCAGTAGACACTGGCGAGAAAGAAGATGTTGTATAATCCCTATTATACAAAGGGTGGGATCTATGCAGACTGAATTAGTGACCTTTGGGAGAAAAGGAAATCAAAGGTTGTGAATTCCAGTCCAGTGCCCTAGGGATACGGTACTTGTTGGCCCATCATTATGGCTTGCTAAGCTCCTGTGGCCTGCCAGCATCCTGAATGTGATTTGGATGGCATGTGCCTTGGTGCAGAAATCTTTGCTTGTCAAGCGTAAAGCTGACGTCAGTAGGCGCCAAGAAAGAAAGAAAGAAACACAGAAATCGGGGTTCTTGGCATGTTTTCAAAGAGTTTCAGTAGAAGCGAGGTGGGAATCAAAAATGAGAGGTTGCAGAAAGAGCCTGCTCTCAAATAAGGAAATTATTAAGACAATATTTTCCTTCTTTCTTGACTTATTCAGTGACCTAACACACAGACTTATGGGCAGCCACCTGATCTCAAAGCAGAGGTCACTTGGCCTGCTGCGACTATAATGATTTGCCTCCGCATGGAGCCATTGAGAGGTATGAAAGAAGAAAGCATGCATCTCTTCAGATCTCCATTTTAAGACAGGGCTACACATCTCATGCATGAGCACATAAAAGCCAAAGGGGGAAAAAGCAGCTTTAAGAGGGTACATTGCGAAGCAAAAAAGGCAGAGGGAGGGTGTGCGCTCAACAATTTCCCCACCTGTTACCGTTCCACTCTAAAACTACCTTCTAAACTCCTTTATATCCCCAAGTTTAAAATGTTGGTTTTGGAGAGGCTAAAACACATTTGGAAACCTGTTTGCAGGCAGGTGGGTAAGGGACGGGAAGCACCTTAAATGGGGTGATTTGGAACAGACCTGAATGCATCCAAATTCCACTGCCCTGCTTCTGCGTCTGATTGGCCACTGTGGGAAACAGGGGGCAGGACTAGATGAGCCACTGGTTTGATCCAGCAGGCATCTTTGCATGGGCTTCAAGGGAGATTTCAGGTAGAGGATGCCCCAATAGCACTGCTAGTGCTTGGTCTTACTTATGATCTGTTAAGAGCTCACTGGCTGGGGGGGGGGGGCATTTGGGCAGGTGTAGTTTCTCCCATCAGTGAAGTGTTGTACTGGAGAAGCCATGAGGACCTGTCATGCACACAACTATTAGAAGGCCCCCGGCGGTCTTTGGAAGAGGTGTGTTGGCACCCTGAGCCACAGTGGCCGTAGAACTCCACAGAGAGGGAACAAAAAGGGACAACAGCAATGATTAACAAAAAGGGGCAGGACAAGAGGGTCTTTAGTCTAAGAAGAATCGAAAACCATTTCTGTGGCGCCTTGATCAGAAACAAGCCCCATTAATTTTTGAGCTGTGCTCATAAAGACTCAGTGAAAACCAAAGGGCCTCTTATGGCTTTATTAAAACTGTTAATATTCATTTTCTTAAGGCTACAAATGATGAATGCAGCTAGACACAAGGAAGGAAGTCAAATAAAGTTGTATGTGGCACAGACACACAGATGCACCCACAGGCTTTAAGAAAATACTGCTGGTGGAAGGGAGTCATAATTTATTGTTTTTGAATGGAACCTGTCACGTAAACTCCCACATAGTGAGTCCAGCCGTTTTTCACTGTCTCCTCCACACCCACCTTCAATGTCCATTATCCTTCCATGCCTCCTCTGGTTTTATTCTGAAGACTAGAATTCCAAAATGCTTTCTTTCCCCACTCAAATTCTCAATGTTCAGTTGACAGTGAAAACAATACGCAATTAGGCCTTGGCCTGCACTGCCGATTCCCAGTTCCACAGTGGCGTCCGTCTGCTGCTAATGACTCTGCTGTGCCGTTGCGTGACTTCCACACTGAAATACCAAGTCAACTGAAGGGCCTGTCTTTTGCTCAGGACCGTTGCTCCAATTCAGTTGTTCATCTCCAGTTATGGGAGCCGAGATGGAAACAGGAACTCATTCCTCATGTCCCAAATTGCCCTTTGGAAAAAGCTCAAGCCATCTACCAACTGGGGTGTGCACAGAAATCAAGGCTTTAGAAGAGGAAGAACACAAAACACTGCTCCCCTTAACTAGGGATCTACAATGTGGGGCACCCTAATTCCAAATCTCTTCTGAAATTACTGATGTCCTTAGTTCCACCATAGTTCTGGGAGTTCCGCCCAACCCTCCAGAGCACATTTAGGGGGCACAGAGGCCATGGGAGGGAGGTGAGTCCTATTATGTTGAGTGGACCTTGTTCCATGCATGCAACAACTTAGTTGAATCCTACCCCTAGCGTGGGAGCACCCAAGAAAATAGCTTAATGCCTTCCACATTAAGATGGCTCCAGCATTTATTAACCAGGGAGTGATAAAAGACGGCATGCATGCAAACAGAAGTATCTGCTATGCTTTATATCACCAGTACAAATAGAGACAACAATTTGCCAGGTAGTTCCTTAAAGACTGGGAAGCTGGCTGTCTCTAGCCTCTTATCTTGAGTAATGAGGAACCAATGGCTATGAGCCACAGCGGCTATGTTCTGCCTCCACTTCAGGAGGCAGTACGTCTCTGAATGCTGGGAATCACAAGTGGGGAGAGAACTGTTGCACTCAGGTCTTGCTTGTGGCCTTCCCATAGGAATCTGGTTGGCCACTGTGAGAACAGGGTAGTGGACTAGATGGGCCACTGGCCTGATCCAGCAGGCTCTTCTTAGGAGAATTTTCTCACACCTACCTATTGCCTCCTCACTTTCCAGACACAGGTCCACACTTTCTCTGAGCGCTCCCTTCCCCACCACTTCCCCCAGGAAGATCTGACCTTCACCGCTGAATTAGAGCACATGCCACTTTGGGTTTTCAGCAGTAAAGATCAGATTTTTGTGGGGAAAGCGCTCAGACATGGACCTAGAAAGCCCAGACCTGTGCCTCGAAATGCAAATGATACAACAAAATTTTCTACTGCAGGAAGGCCCAAGCTCCACCCGAAACATGGAAATAATCTATCACCCCAGTCCTGGATCCACAAAAGTTTTGCTGCAAATCCTGTTCTCTCCTCTGTGTGTCAGCATCCCCTCCCAGTTGGTGATGTTTTTAAAACTGTACCTACTCCTCCTATGGAAAATGAGCTCTTCCTGTGCGTGTAGCTCCCCATGCCAATGGGGAGAGCTCAGTGGAGCAGAGATTGCAGAAAGTATTCAGCCGTGTGCTAAAAACAAAACATGAGCACTGCACTTTGGGGCATTATGATAACCTAAAGAAGATTTTTTTTTTAAGTGCCTTAAAATTATTGTTCTCTCCAAAGATGTCCTTTGATTGGATTGCCCACTGAGCTCTGGCAGAGAAAATGAGGTGAAAGAAATGGAGGTGACGAGAAATATATATCTGGGTAAAAAATTGACAGCTATCAGGGAGGGGGGCACATGCACGCACAGCCACCCAATTCTGTACAATGCATTGCTTCACTATCTTGCCAGGCATAATACAGCTTTGAAAACAATGCCCCGAGAAAACAAACCAATCTTGTGAGCTAAGAGGTTTACTTATTATGCATCCGCCAAAGAAAATAGTCCAAATGGGAACTGGTTTGTTTGCTCCACAGCTTATGTACTTCCAGCTGCAGTATTCTGCATGCTGTGGGCAATGAGATTTTGCCTTTCTGCCATGCAAGGACAGCCCTTGCCCTCAAGGGCTGCTGTGGCTGCTCAGTGTACGCGCACTCCTTCCCGTTAAAGGTGCCGCTCAAGTGTGGTGCAAGTGAAGCATTGTTTACTTCTGCACCAGCATTATACGAGTGCTTGCAGCGAGGGAAGCAATTTCCAAGGGTCTGCTGTAAGAAAACAAACAAACCTCCCGATAGGATGACAGGGCTTCCCAGGGTACTGAGGCAGAAGATGCAAGGCCATCATGCGCTGAGTTATCGACTGGAGGGCAATAGGGAAGGAAGCAGGGTTGCCATCTGACCTGTTCCTTTTTCACCCAGATAGCATGGGGGATTGGAAGATCTGTTTGAAGTTCAAAGGCAAGTTACGGCTGGGAAAAGAGCGAGTGGGTTAGAAAAGGCTTCTCCCATTCTCCAAGCACACCTTACAAGTCAGTCCATGGAACAAGAGCCCAGATGGTCACCTCTGCTAGGGAAAAGCAGCTTCAGGAGGAGATAAGTAAAGGTAAAGGACCCCTGTTGTGTCCTTTTGTGAAGGTCCAGTTGTGAACAACTCTGGGATTGCGGCACTCATCTCGCTCTATAGGCCGAGCGACCCAGCGTTTGTCCACAGACAGTTTTTCCGGGTCATGTGGGCAGCATGACTAAGCCGCTTCTGGCGAAACCAAAAACGAAACCTCCTGGTTTCAGAGGTATGCCAGTGAATGACAGTTTATGGGGAGAGACAATTGGCAGAGAGCTATTCGTGCCCTGCTTAGGGTTTACCAGAGGCATGGGCTTGGCCTCTATGGGAAGCTGGAGTAGATGAACTAGATGAACCTTTGGTCTGACTCATCAGGGCTCTTGTAATGTTTGCCTGAGAAGCCTGTGGTCAACTGGCTTCCATGTCTGGGCCTCTTCCTACCCACTTGCTTGGCTGACGCTTGTGACTGGAATGACAACCTCTCCTTTCCTGCCCGGCCCAGGCTTTTTCCTGGCAAAGGTGCTGTTAGCAGGCTGTTGCCTTGCCTCCTTGGTCTGAGGGGAGCACTGCAGTGCTTGTGGCTACAGACAGCAGTTGCTAATGTACCTCTATGGACAGCTGGCAAGGGAAGTGCTGTGGGCTCACCTTGACAGTGGGCTTGGGCCTTGTATGTAGTAGCGGTGTGGGCTGAACAGGGTCATGCCACCAGAACATTTCCTGCCACGTGCTGACGGGTTCCTTCTAGGCAGGCTTAATGTGGAGGAGTTGCGAATGATACCACGGGAGGGTCTGCTGGTATCACTAGGTTGCCTCTAGCTATTGTGATTTCTACTTCAATTACATTATATTGGTGTTAGTTCTGGACCTGGTGCATCGGCACAGCATCAGAGGATCCTGGGATCAGCTGCCCCCTTGGAAGGTACTCTGAAGTACTATGTAAAACGCCAACTGGGTCCTGAATTCCTTTGGAGGTGATGAAAGTGAAATTACTTTCAGTGCATTAAGCTGTATATCCAAGCACCTTGGTCTTGGCTAAGCTGCGGAATAGGAGAGGAGTTCATTGAGTAGTATAGCATTTAAAGTGTAAGCTTTATTTATATTTTGTTAACTTTATTACGTTAGACTTTATTATGTCTGTTGGTTTTACTGGTATGTTCTTATAAATATTTTATGTAAACTGCCTAGAGGTTTTTAAATTAAGCAGTACATAAATTTTGTTATGTAAAAAAGGGGGCCTTTTCACAAAACAGTCAAAGCAAGCCTCAGTCACAATTTTTTAAAAAACCACCACAACAACCCACCCATCTTTATTTTTAATTTTTATGTATCTAACAGCCTAATATAGAATCCCAGGTTTGGAAGGGGCGTCAAAGGTCATCTAGTCCAACTCCCTGCCAATGCAGGAAACCCACTACTGCAACAGGTGGGTATCTAAACCCCACTTACAAACTTCAAAAGGAAGGATATTCCATCACTCCCTGCAAGGAAGTCTAGTTATAGATAAGTAGCCATGTTGGTCTGCCGTAGTTGGAACAAAATATAAAAATTCCTTCCAGGAGCACCTTAGAGACCAACTGAGTTTGTTATAGGTATAGGAAGTCTGTTTCACTGATTGAACAGCTTGTACCCTCAGAATTTTGTTCCTGATGTTTAAGAAAACACATATAAATATGTTATACAGTACATGTATGGAAAAAATTAATCCCAATGACTTTTTAGTCATCATATGGTGGTCAAAGTTCTTTTTAAATTCTCACTTATACTTAATAGATCAGAGAAAGTTGTGCTTCTACCCCCCCCTCCAGCTGCAACACATGTTCAAACAGTCTGGCTACACATGCACCCTAGTGCTAGAGAGGGGAAGCACATCACATCTAAAAACACAGAAAGGGTTTATGAAATATTATGTCATACTTTCAACAATGGGAGAGGAGGGAATGGACTTGTTGGTGATGCTTGCTGCTAGAGTTGTAAATACTGGGGAAGTACTACAGTGCTGTGGTTATACATCAGACACACTGCCTCCAAAACTTAACCTAATACATAGAGAAAGTTCATAGAATGAAGCAGCTTCACAAAATACTTGATGAAGTACAGCGTCAGTTAATGCACTAACTGGAAAGGGATCCACTGCATTTTCTCAGGTATAAAATATTGTGGCATACTCTCTCTAAGCCATACGTCACCTTGAGGGGTGTCATGTGGACTGTGTGCAACTAATGAGAAACAAATGTGCCATTTATTATGCCATAAACTAAACTGTGGAGAAAGGCCTTCATTTTTCTCCTTGTGATTACAAGAATACAACACTGAAGGCAGCAAGGATGCCTAGGTCCCTTGCCCTGCCTGTACCATTGCCTAGCTTGTTCCTGTCACACCACACCACAGTACCTGCCAGTGAAATGGGGATGTGGAACAATGCCTGCTGGACGGGATGACGTGAGAGGGAATGAATGAACGCAAGGCTCTTTGAGATGATCAGATGACAAAAGCCACAGGAAGAGCCGCTTGAAATTACCCATAACCGTCCTATCCTCCAACATGAACCTTTGATTGTTTCCAACAGCAAACAACTGTGCCCTTGTTCAGTATTAGAAACTGAGATATGAAAGCTAGCAGCTAAATGGCACCTTAAACCTAGGTTATCGGCCCAATAACGGAATGTCTAGGCGTGCTTTTTTTATAACTCGAATACAAAGCTGAAAATGAATGAACTGCAGCTAAAATATTATGTTCATTTTTCATACGGTCTGGTCCTTCCCCTGCCCACCCCCCTAATACTCTTAAGAGGGTCTTTTCTCTAGTCTTCAGAGACAGCTTCCTTAAACTTGGCCCTCCAGATGTTTTGAGACTACAATTCCCATCATCCTGACCACTGGTCCTGCTAGCTACGGATCATGGGAGTTGTAGGCCAAAAACATCTGGAGGGCTGAGTTTGAGGAAGCCTGCTTCAGAGAGTAGCTGGAAGAGGGGAGACAGAAAAGGGTCCTCCTTTGCTTCCACTCTGCAGTTTTAATCTGAAATCATAGGTGAAGTACTGTGCCCAGAGCTCAGAAAGTGCTTGCGCTAATGAAATTCCCTATTGCAAAATGCGCCTGGAACAATGCGAGTTTCGAACACTGCCCTTGTTTGGGTGCAGAGTGGACAAATATCCATGCCAGCCTTGACAAGATAAAGAGCATCTTGGCCCCATGTTAGAAGCAATGCAGGGCTTCCCACTAACAGCAATCATCAGACCATCAGCTTGAGGCATGGAGAAGCACTGGGAGCTTGCTTTGCCAATATAAAACTGCTGCTTACTGGTGTTCTTTGAAAGAAGTTGTAAAGAGATCTCTTCAGTCCAGAGAGTGTGTAGGTCAGTGGATGGAGCTTCTTCTTTAAACAAAAAACTTGATTCCTTTTTATTTTGGAGTGCCACCATTTGATTTGGTAGGGCTCCTGTGGCATACATTTACAGCACATCTAAGGCACATTACTTCCCCACATTAAGGCACGTGACTGTCATTTGTGAAGCATGCTGGGAATTGCAGCTCTGCAAGTGGTGAACTAGCTCCCAAGATTCTTTGTGCTGTAAATATGCTTTAAACATATAGTGTGCACACAGAACAAGTGGATGAAAGGCAGAAATTAAACAGGTTAGTTGAATCCCTATCACTTCACCCCTGTACCAGAATTTCTGCCAACTGTACATTTGTCAATGGCACAAGGGAACCTGAAAGTAACAAAGTGACAACCCCACACTAACCCTTTTTTGGGGGGAAATTCCCTTATTCCAGCGCTGTTTCCCGCTGCTTCCCACTGCTATCCCGGATTGTTAGATATCCCGTAGACTGTCCCCAGGACAGGTGAGGCTGCTGATCCCTTATTTTCGAGGCTGCTGATCCCTTATTTTCAAATCTGAAATTTGACAACTATGCATATAATTTAGCTGTCCCAGTCTCTGCACCAAGAAATAGCAAAGCAAACGGCACATGTATGCCAGGTTCAGAAGAGAAGAAGCTGCCCCAAGCCTCTTGAAAACCTACACCTACACACACACACACACACACACACACACACGTATGTACAGTGGTCCCTCTGGTTACGTACTTAATTCATTCCGGAGGTCCATTCTTAACCTGAAACTGTTCTTAACCTGAAGAACCACTTTAGCTAATGGGGCCTCCCGCTGCTGCTGCGCTGCAGCCACACGATTTCTGTTCTCATCCTGAAGCAAAGTTCTTAACCAGAGGTACTATTTCTGGGTTAGCGGAGTCTGTAACCAGAAGCGTATGTAACTCGAGGTACCACTGTATAGTATAAAGCTGCTTGCAGCATAGCTTTGCAACAGCTCACTTGCTAAAAACACAGTTTTGTTCCAAATCAAAGCCTCAGCCCACAATTTTGACGTGTGGTCAAAGCTGAGAGAATGGCAGATTTGAATTTGAAAAGCAAAGTTTATAGCCATTCAGAATGCGATAGAAAAGACAGCCTGCTTTCTACCACGTGTGTCACTTTGGGAGGTGACGCTGTTGCAGATGTAAATTTAGTGGTCCTTCTCTGCCCTCCCTGACCACACAGAGCGGTTAATTGTTGACTCTGCATACAGAGATCTAGATACTGTACGCCTTTATTCTGGGTGCACGGGTGAAGAAATGAGCGGGGAGTGGGAGTGAGGAGCCCACCAGAGAATGCAATGTGCTTGCTGCATTCACAAAAACACACTAATAGGCCAAGCTCTATAAATACTCTCCTACAGGCATGTCCCAAAGCCAGCCTCTCTACTCAGACTGCTCTCCTGCTTCTCCTTTCCTAGAAACAGACAGCACGGCAAACAGCCTACAGCCATAAGTGAGAGCTTTGGCCTCACAGGCCAGTGGTAAAACTGTGCCACAAACGACAAGGAGCTGAAACCGGAGACTTTTCATACTCCCAAACAAAACACAAGCTCCGTAGGGCCGTGGAATGCCAAACTACCCTAGTTCCACATGGCTCGGTCCAGCTCAAGTCTATACCAGAAGGTCCTGATATTTGATCTAGGCTGCAACAGTTTCCAGAGCTAGGAAACATATGTCACTCCCCGGCCCAATTAAAAATTAAAGCTGGAAAAAGTGGAGGGTTTTCTTTATGCACAGGACACAGCAAACATCAGACAAGTTCTTACCCTCCTGGATAATCCAGCCACTCTGAGTACTCCGCATTTCCAAGATGTTGCCATTAGCAGTGAATTATGTTCAAATATGAATAAAATAGTCTTAGTAATGAGATCAGCATGTCCTGTTCCACTTGGGACAATTCAAACAGCTTTACAGTGGGCTTTATGAGAGGGAAAATGTGTGTGCATATAAAACATACATCATAAACCTTCCATATGCAAAATAGTTGGAATTTAATATTTTCTCTCCAAATACAGTTACAGAATAAACACAACATTCTTATAATGTATTCCAAATATCTGAAGGCTCCACATACATTACCTCAGTAATCCCTACAACCAGTGCTATTCTTCTCCCTTGTTCTCTTATAATGGCATTGGCGCCCACCTGAGACGTGCCAGAACTGAGTTCCAGCAAGTTCTGGCTGGAAAAAAAGCCCTGCGTACAACAATCCTGTAATGCAGACTGATAACATTATTCTGATACTGAGACAAAGGCAGTCTGGTGAGAGTTGCTGAAAATATCCCAGCACTGTCTCTTAGCTACACCTGGAAGGAACCTCCAGAGGTAACCTAGTCCAATTCTTGTCACTTCAGTATGAAATGGGAAGAGAGGTAGGGGGGCCCTTAATGAAATTCTCTCTCCTGACTTCCTTCAGTTTTCGCCAAATTATGGCCTCCCCCCTTCAGCCTTCTAAAAACTGTACTAAAGTGGCTACCAGAAAAGGTAAAATGGCAATCCTCCTCTGACTGCAGAGAAGCCCCACCATTGCTCCTACAGAGGCACCAGAGGCAAAACCCACAAAAATATCCTCAAAACCATCACTGGCCATTCTGCTTTCTGAGCCCAGAGGACAAGAGTGTTTTCTATTTCTTAGAGAAAACACAAATTTGGAAAGTTTGTGGCCTAAGTAGTAATGTTTATAACTGAGAACCCTGAGATATTTTTCTCTTCCTAGGGCATTATATCACCTGGAGATGACAGGGGGACTGGTGCAAACAGATGGTGCCTGTGGGTCAAGCTGCACAACAGAGATGCACTGATGATTTGGGCTGCAGATAGATGTGATCATGCCCTGTGTGAGGAATGGTGTGGGTGCAGAATTGTCTCAAGATGATGCAAAGAACAAAGTACTGTTACTCTCTGATCTCGGGACCTTTCCATTGTCATAGTACCAGGTTGTCAAATCTCATATGCTAGAGATGAAACAAGCATGGCTCTTTCCATCTTCATTTTCTACTGTAATCTAACACCTCAAAAATATATTAGACACCGCAGAAATATATTACCGGTAACTGTATTATTAACTAAGTTTGAGGCTAGTTACAACGGTCTCTTTTTCTCAGAAAAGTTAGGTGTTTCTTAGCCCAGGTCTGTGATGCTGAGAAAAAATGGTGGAAAAGCTGAAAGTAAAACTAGAAAAAGTTTTGGTAGAGAGAAAGTGTACTTTTTTTCCATTGTGCACTGCCTTGGGATACCATATGAAAGGCAGTATTTGAATACCTAAAACATTTTTTTTAAGACCCAGAGAAATAAAAACAACTATTTGGCACGGCAAGGAGCAACAGAAGGTCACCAAAGGAGACCAGAGAAGACCCAGCGGGGGCTCTTCCAGACATCCGCTCCCCACAGACTATAACCCCTATTCTGAACCGAGGCGGAGGGAAGGAGCGAGCTGATGGCAAGATTTGCTCCTCGTTGCAACGATATACCTGCCAGCAGTCCGGTCCAGAAAGATTCCTTCCGTCGCTGAACTCCTGCGAGTACGTCAAAGACACGGTAAGCCCAACCCACGCAAGTATTAGCCGTTGTAGTAAAATAAAGCGAAGATGAAACCCTATTTAAAGACATCTCGAAGGTCTGGCGGGGGCCGCCGGGGACTAGCGGCGAGGAAGCTCGCAAAGCGCCGCTGCGTAAAGTTGTAACGTTCCTTTGGAAACGCACCGCCGAGGCGCTGGCCCACCCGACCCGACCCCGGGTGCACCGAATAGCGGCTTTTATAAATAGCAACGGGAGAAAGGTGAGGCACCCGTGGCTTGTAGATCCACCCCGTCCCTCCCGATCCGCTCCGTGAGACTTACGTGCCGGTCCTGCAGTCCAGGTCGTGTCCCGCGCCGGCCAAACTTGTCGGTTTGCAGCGCTCGCTCGGCAATCCCGCGGCTGTCGCTCCGGCGCGTCCGTCCCTACGGCTGGCAGATTAATGCTCTCCAATAATCCTCAATGGAGGGGAAGATTAAAGGCACCAGGACCGCCCCCACGGAGGCCTCCAATCTCCGCGGCTTTCGGAGAAGCGTCACGCTGCCCCCCTCCCGCGTCCACCCCGGACGGGGCACAGGCGAGGGCGGGAGAGAGCGAGGGGGGCCACCGGAGCCTGCGCGCCCGAGGGAGCCGGGCACAGGCGCACGAGGCGGGAGAGGCGGGCAGCGCGCCACGGCGCTCCTCGCTTCCTTCCCCGCCGGGCCGCGTGCCTCTCTCGGCCGAGCGCGGAGGCGCCAGAACTTCGCCAAAGTCGGCCGCGATCCTGAAGGCTTTCACTCCGGACCATCACTGGGGAGCAGGCGGTGGCGCTTCGCTGCGAGCCAGGTTTCTTGGCCGAAAGGTCCGTCTCGACGCAGATCCAGGGAAGAGTGTTTAGCACCAAAGTTTGAAGTTCTCAGCCCAGTCTAGGGCGAGTTGCAAAGGTTTCCTTGGAGCACGTAGTTTTATATCGAGCATAACCCACACAGATTCAACTTTTCCAGTCCTCTCTTATTTTTTAAAGGCCGCTATACCCAGTCCAATCTAACCCTTACACATACTTTTTCAGATGAGCGCGTCGAGGATCGCAGCGCCACGAAGCGTCTTTGAAAAGCGTGGGGTTTACCTCCGAGTGAATCTCTTAAACTCCGGGAATGAGCTCATCCTCGGTGTGGCGAAATGCTGCGTTTTTAATCCTGATACTATGTGTGTAAATAAATCGCTGTGTAGACACCCTAACCCCCCCCCCCCCGCAGTCTAAAGGGGCGCAGCTCATTAAGCCCGACAAAAAGAAAAGTGTAGATTAAATGCCACTGGCCTATTTTGGGTCTTCTAATCATCTAAATTTAGTAGGAGAAACCAGAGCCGAATCCCAGGCCATAGAAGCACCAACCTTGGCAGTCAGACCACCTGGACATCAGATCCCTGAACGCAGCTCTTCACGGGGGGCTTTATGCGATCTAAAGCACAACTGTTATCCTGCATTTACATGGCTTCCCCAAAGAGGCCTGGGAACACAGACATATAGGTCACAGCATGCTTAAAAAACTACAGTTCCCAAGATTCTTTGGGGTGGCCATGTGCTAGTGTGTGGTTAGGGCCTTTGTGCATCCAAGGGACCCAATGGGGATGCAAGTCCATTGAATCTAGGAGAGCCATTGAGAAAACATGCTAAGGCCAGCCAACAAGGATTTGCATAAATAGACTTGTGTAACAGGGTAGTCGTATTTACTTTGAAATCCCAGGACACTGTGTACATAGGATTGCAACCCTCAGATGGCAAGATTGCAAGGGCATTTGCTTCCTCTGGATTCAATACTATTCTCATGGATGGCAATTAAGACATAATCTGAACAGTATAAATACACCTAATGAGGTGCATTTAAGATATCAGAACCGGAGAGTTTCTCTCTCACACACCTTATATCAGTCAGGTCAAAGACAGCATTTTCAATGTCCACATGCATACTTAATTCATACAAAGAAATGCAAACCCCATACTGTCTTCCTATTTAGCATATACAATGCTGGCACAAGCTAAAAATATAATGTGTGATTCAGCCAAAGTTGGTTTGGGATTTTTTTTAAACATCATTTATATGCTGCTTACTTGACCAGAAACCTAAGCTGCTTACATAAAACAATATAAAATATTCATTAAAATACTGATAAAATCAAAAGTTAAAAACAAATGGACATAAAATGTCTCCAAATATATATTGTTATTGTTGGCATCTGTCTGTCTTGAGAAACAACAGTGTGTGTCTTCAGGGATGAAGTCAAACCGCTGCAGAATCACAGCATCTGCTGTGACTGCAGAGACCAGTCACTCATAACTGCTGCCTCATGTGTTGTTTTTGCTGTGTTAATAGCACTGAAGTGAGCTCTCCGAGATGCAGGCCTGGGCAGTGTGTATGGAGGTCCTGGGCTGCCCTTGCTGAGCAATACTTTTGGCTCCAGGAGTTGCCAGAAAGAGTCGTACAAAACGGCAGCTAACTGTCTTAGGGATTTGTGTAGGTTTGTAGGTTTGTGTAGATTTGTGTAGTCCTTAGTCTCTTCTTTTGCCGAAGATGTCTCTCAAGGCAGCAGGTACTGATTTTGTCCTTGACGTTTACTCCCGACATGTCTCCTGGATGAGTATAGACGCAAGGCAGTGGAGGTTTAGGACCAGAGTTTCCTTATCCTGGATGGGCTGGCTACCTTCTCAGGTTGACGAGCCCCATCTGCCCCTCACATTTGCAGAAACCACCTTCCTGACCATTGCTATCCACTATTGCAATTGTACGCTAAATCCACTGGTGCCTGTCGTTGCATGCGAGGGAAGTCCCTAACTCACTGAGGGTTTGAAAGCCGTTGGCTATTCAGCTGTTCTCGGGGTGTGGCTGCTGTCGCATGCTGACAGCTTCTAGGAGCCACAGGTGAGAACTGAGTGCAGGGTGGGGAGCAAAGATGGACAAACTATCTCAGAAGGAGCACAACGTGTCCCCCACCAAAGGTGCTACCCCTCCCCTAACACCCCATACATATGGCTTGCAAGAAATATGCATAATAAAGTTACATGTTAAAAATACAAGCAATTTTAAGTCCAGTTGATTTCAGCAAGACTGCTTTAAATCTCCAGTTGGTCAGTGGGACCGGAAAATGCTTAGGTTTGTCTGAATCATATTCACAGTTTACAAACTTTGTGGGTTCTTCCGGATGTTCTTGGATGTCAGGTGTGCTAGTTAAATACATCACTTGCATAAGCCACAGAAGAAAAGTGCAGATCCCTGCCAGTCCAAATAGTTTACCACAGAAGGAGTGTGGTTAGTGTAGGTGGCATAGTCTAGAGAATAACCTGTTTGGAGCCAGGAAAAAGCAGAAAAGCTGGCTGTTTTAAAAAGCTACTCTTGAATAAGAGGCATTTGATTCAAAAGACACTGTAAATATTTTAAAGTCCACCTGGAATTATTTTGCTTTTTTATTGTTTCAAACCCTAAATGTCTTTGCAGCATTAGAGAAACAAGAGTTTTTATGTTATTATGTTGAGGCAAAAACCCCCCAGCCTTGTGCCTTTGTTTTTCTGGATATTGCTTTCTATATGTCCAGTTTTGCTGAGAGTAGCCCATATAGGATGTTATATGCAAATACCACATGCTAATGCATGGTTACATACACTTAACTTCATATTTCATGCTCTTATGTGATCCACACTATACATTTAAAGCATATTCAATGAACTGTAGTTTCCCCAGCAAAGAACTACCATTTATACAGAGCTTATGCATTTATACATCATTTATACCAGAGATGCCATTATACAAATCTATGGTATGACCTGCATTTGGAATACTGTGTATCATTTTAGTCGCCAAACCTCAAAAAAGGAAATTGTAGAGATGGGAAAGGTTCAGACAAGGGCAGTAAGGATGATCATGGGAATGGAGCAACTCCCCTACAAATTTTTAGTTCTGGGGAGTTTTCAGCTTAGAGGAAAGATAGGCAAGGGGTGACATGATGGAAGTGTATAAAACTATAATGTGTGGCATGGAGAAAGTGGATAGCCCTCTCCCATGACACTAGAACTCATGGACATCTAATGAAGCTGAGAACAGGAGGATTCAGGACAAGTAAAAGAGTGGCAATGATGACCACCATCTTGGATGATTAGACAAATTCAAAGAAGATTTGAGAAATTCAACTACTAGCCATAGTGTCTCTGCAGTATGCCTCCGAACACCAGTGTCTGGAAACCACAAGAAGGGAGAGTGCTTTGGTGCTCAGGTCTGGCATGTGGGTTTCCAAAAGGCTTCTGGTTGGCCACGAAGAGCCTGTTGATGTGCAGTTGTATGTGCACCCCTTTCATAACTTTCTAGGTAGCATGAGATTGGAGCCTGCGGGGTACAGCAGCACTGGGACTTGGTTCAGCAGGCACTGCCCTGCTTCTCCTTAACACATTTACTGTACACATGAGAGGAATGCGTAGAGAGTCTAAAAAGCTAGATAAATCTACATATTCATTGTAAAGAAAAATGCAAATGAGTGGTTGGTATGCAGCAATCTGCAGTGTAGCCAAAACAGCAGGAGGCACATTCCCAGCAAACATAGTTTGTGGTTTGATCAAATTTGATCACTGTGATAACTTTCAGCATTGGCAACACAGTGTATTTATAATTCTAACTTTTTTTGAAATGTAGTTAAAACTTGACTTTAATTTTAATTCCATATGAGGACAACCTATGTCGTAAAGTGTAGCTGTGCAGGTGAACATGGTGAAATTATATGCAACAATAGTCTTATATAACTAATCTTTTACATTGAGCTACCACGTCACCCATACAAATACCGATGTTTGTATTGTACACAATATATCATGGGGTAAGCCCAGGTTTTCAACGAACCTTAATCAGAAAATCGTTGTCATCTAAAGTCAAGATCCCAGTGTGACCATGAAACTTAAGTAGTTAATGAGTAATGTACTGCCATTTATCAATTGGTGGGTTAGCTAAACATCTGAGGTGTCTCTGAGGCATTCAGATAAACAGAATGCCTTGTGGCTCTTTCACATGGTGCTTTTTCATTGCATTTAGTGCTGAATCTACAACTGGAAATCGCCCTAGTCCTCGAGATACTGCAGGCTGTCTTACATTCAATTGATTTTAAATTCATGTCTCATTATTTGGTGGGATTAAATTTTTCGATGAGCGAGTATTGCTACTTTTTTGGGGGGGGAGTAATGATTTTTAAAACAAATGTTTCTACTTCTTAAAAAAAAGAGCATCCCCCCCCCAAAAAAAACTGCATAGAAGCTTTGCTGAAGAAATCTTTTAAATCAGGGTTGGGGAACCTGTGGACCTCTAGACATTGTTGAACTCAAGCTCCCATCAGCCCCTGCCAGCATGGCTAAATTTTCAGATATGGAAGTTAGCTTTATAGGTATAAACCACCACTGAATAGAGCCCGGAGACTAATTGGCAGTGTAGTTGAGCCAGAATTGGGGTTTGGGCTGCCGAAACCTGACATTTACAAACTGTCTTCAAAGGCAGCCCCACATATAACACATTGCAGTAATACCAGAGCATAGGCAACAGAATTTAGCTGGGCACCAGCTGAAGCTGATGGAAGGCACTCCATACCACTGAGGCCACTTGAGCCCCAAGCAACACTTATGGGTTCAGAAGTATCCCTAAGCTATTCAAAAGGAGTGCAACTCCATCCATAGCAGGCCACATCTGGTCTAGGGAACCACCCACTAAACAGTGCCTCAGTCATGTTCAGATTAAGCTTCAGTTAACTGGCTCTCATCCAGTCCACTATGAAGACAAGGCA